ACCCTTCTCGACGTATGATGCGTGGAGACTGTGGAGAGTATCGGCGTGCCACAAGCAGCCGGAGCTGGAGCAAGAGGGGAACTCACGTCAGAAGCCACCAACAGGACAACCCCTCCCCCGTCCCTTCAGTGAAGGAACCGGGCTTGCATACCTAATACATTCAGAGCATTTTCATGAACCGACAATGCAAGTGCAGTGCGAATAAAAATCTCCACAACTTTGACGAGTACAGTTTTGACGAATACAGTATGTACTTACGTGCTCAGCGGGTTGTTGTACAACAGAAGCCATCATATGTGTGTGCAGTGTGTAGTGTGCACTTTGGAGGGCCAGAAGTGAAAGTGAAAAGTGTGCACTTTGGAGGGCCAGAAGTGAAAGTGAAAAGTGTGCACTTTGGAGGGCCAGAAGTGAAAGTGAAAAGTGTAAAGCTCAATGGTGGTGAGTGGACGGAGACGAGTTGCGAATATGCACCCGAACGAAGCACGGGCTTACATGCGTGATGGATAGATAGGTACCGTAGGTGCATATGGTGTTCTCGAAGGGCTCACGAATAGGACGTAGTAAGAGGGGGAGAGAGGATCGATTTTAGACTATGGCGACCACAAACCCGATATGGCGTAGTGGCCGATGCACCTCAATAATCGATGGGCGTAGATATGCATGCAAACACCGAAATGGTGGCCGGTGGATCAGCCGGGAGGAGAATGAGAAGTCAGCTTGTTGACGGAAGGCAACGATCGATAAAGAAACTTCCCCATCAACTGCACCCCGTTCCGTTGACTGAATGGGAACGATCGCCAAAGGGACTCCTCCATCAACTCCACCCCGTTCCACCAGCAAATACGAAGTCAACCAGACAGACAGCGGTAATCGAACTGACGTTCCGCCCCTCCGGCTCCCCTGCTGCCACGTCCCATCCCGTTACCTAAAGAGTGAAGTTTACCTATCGGCGCTGTGTTGAAACGCTCAGCCGCGCCCGTTCCCTCACGATCACGAAACCTTACCCAAGACCAAAACCAAAACTAGTTCCCTCAGCAAAAGGAAAAACAGAAACATCTCTGCGCATTCCAAGACCGCGCCGTTTTCTGTCGCCAAACACGCCCGTTGATTGGGACGTTGCGCATTGCCATCTAGTAGAGTACGTAGTGTAGTGTAACTAGAGTGGCGTGGGGAGGGGTGGATGGAGTCCAGCGCGGCCCTGCGGCCTTGCGGGTCGCTTGGTTGGCTCGTGAGTCAAGTGACCACTGATTGGCCCGAGCCATGGCACTGATGGGCGTAACTAGTGGCGGCCGCTCTGCAGGCCGGCGCTTATTGCATGTTTGAGGTCCGTCGTTTGTGCATGTAACTAGCCCGCGCTGGCTGCGGCTGAGGTGCTCTATGTACCACAGAAAATTTAGAGCAAGAGGGGTGTATTCGACCTGTGGAGACTGGAGACTGTGGGGACCGTGGGGACCGTGGGGACCGTGGACTCTGGAGTACGGTAGGAGGCACATCGCCAGACGACTCTCCTGTCAGCTACATGAAGTGAGGGACCTCTCGCTGCAGCTCAAGAAGCGAGTCGTGTGCACGTACATACAGTGCACAGGGCACAGTGCACAGTGCAAGCCACCATTCGTCGTTCGCCCGACCTCTTGCCCATCTTGGCGAGGGAGAAAGTCTATCAGAGTGCACTTTTGGCTCTACTCTAACTTCTTGCACCGCTGAATCAGGAGTGGCTGACATGCGCCATCGCAGCGGTTCAGACCGGTGCAGTCCAGTGCAGTTCGGTTTCAAGCGTGTGGGTGCTTCCTAGGTACATACATAATATTTGCTGGCGCATATCGTCTGGCGTCGCTGAATGGAAGTGGCTGACATGCGCCTTCGCAGCTGTTCGAACTTCGGCGCGGTGCGGTTTCAGGCGTGGGGAAGATCACAAATCTCCACCGGCGAAATATCATCCAGCCCCGCCTTCGAGGGCAGTATGCACACAAGTAAGAAGTACTTGTGTACCGTATCATATCATATATGGCCGAGTAAAAAAGATGCACAACCCGTTCGTCCCTCCCTCCCTCCCTCCCTCCCTCCCTCCCTCCCTCCGCGCTAATCGTGCACCGTCACACGGTGCACACTCGCGCACAGCGGCAGTTAGCTGGTTGGCCCGTAGTGGGTGGTCAGCATTCCTTACGTGTTCGGCGTATGTGTGCTCGACGTGCTCGACAGGTGCATGTGCTGAACCGCTGGGTTGGGTCAGACAACCAGACAGCCAGACAGCCAGACGTGTGTGCGAGAGGAAGGTAGGTAAGCCACCCACCCACGAAATCACAATGCGGTGGCCGGTGGGCAGCAACGGGCCAAGGAATCCAAGACAAGACAAGACGAGACAAAAGAGAACGGATGGGCGAAGGGCGAAGAGGGACACGATGCGCATTGTGTGCATACCGTAGCCAGCCAGCGCGGAACATGTGCGACAGTGCGATACCCGCCATCCACCGCGTGTCGGTGTCGGTGTCGGTGCAGGTAGGTCGATGGTGGTTCGTTACTTCCTGGGAAGTTGGTTGGTTGGTTACCTGGATCGAATCGAAACAATGGCAATATTAACGACTTGGATCGAATCGAAACAGACGCTCGAACAAACGAACGGACGGATAAGTTCGGGCGAGCCGCGAGTCGTCGAGTCACACACGGGTTCTTGAAATCCTACCTCGGAGCCAACCCCCCACACACCCGCACACCCGCACACGCACAAACGCACACGCACACACGCACATCTCCTCCCCAACTAATCCATCCCCATCCATCCCGATCCGGAACCAGCGCGCGCAGTATCCACTCTTGCAATTCACCTCGCCCCATCCATCCACTCTAGAGTGCCGCTGCTGCGCTAAATACTCTACAGTCTCTACTCTACTGATCTATGCTACTCTACTCCTCTACTCTACTCTACAACAATCTCCCGTCCCTCCCTCCGAAAACCGTCATTAAATTACCCGCCCCCCTCTCGCCCCCCCGGCCCACCCTGTAGGCTGTCCCTCTACTCGAGTACTGAGTACTAGTAATAGCCGCAGCTCCACCAGAGCAGTGTCACCCGCCGCGCAGCTGCAGCACCTGCCCCCCCCCCCCCCCCCCCCCCCCCCCCACTCACACTCGCACCACCAGCAACACAAATACCAGCAGCGCAAATACCAGCAGAAATACCCACACCTTACGCCGCCACCCCAGTAATTCGCACAAGCGGCCGGGGGCGGTAGCCGTAGAATTATTTTCCTTCCTTCTCTTCGCGGTGAAGGGAGAGACGAGGGGGAGGGATGGGGAGACAAGACAGACGGGCTTGATGAGGGCGTGATGAGTGCGTGATGAGTGCGGGTATGTAATGTGGCCTGGTGGTGCGCGGCGCTGTGGAGGGTCTGGGGTGGGGGATGGGGGATGGGGGATGGGGGATATGGGGGATGGGAGGGGGGTGGGGCGCGTTTATTTAGCTGGCGCTTGATCACGATGGTGGTGGTGGTGGTGGTGGTGGTGATCGTAATAAGGATAGTAGTGCTGGTGCTGGTGCGGATGCTGGTGCGGATGCTGGTGCTGGCGCCAGTGCTGGTAGTGATGCTCTATATCTATACTAACTACGGCAACTAGTGAATAGCTGCCGTAACTACCTCACGAGACGGGGAAACGAGGTGACTATCTCTATACTACTAGTATCTAGCAAGTGGTACATAGAAGTGCCGAGCTCTATGTGTCTACCTAATGTACCTATGTCGGTACGGTATCGGAGTCCCTTACCACCACGCGCCGAGCAGAGAGGCACCGAGCGTATCGTAAGCGAGGTCGGCTCTCGAGCTGGCTGCTGGCTTGCTTGCTGGCTGCATCAGGGGAGCTTCTACTGCTGCTGCTAATGGAGGAGGAGGACGAAGTGGAGGAGGAGGAGGAGGAAGATGCCAGAGGAGGATGGCAAAGTGGGTGGAAAAGTGGGTGGTGTGTAACTATCTAGGAATCTTCGGTATCTTCGGTATCTACAGTATCCACGGTATCTACCATAGGATTTTAGGATTCTAGGTAAGAAGTACTGCACTTGCACTTGTTTACAATTACATTTGCCCTCCCATCCCCCCATCCTATCCTCTCCCCCAGGGGACATGAGTAAGAAAGGCCCCTCGGATCATCGAAACACACAAAAAAGGCCTTTCTGCTTGCTTACTTGCGTGCTTCACGTACTCTATATCCATATCCAAGACCGCCATCTACATATCCAAGACCGCCATCTACATATCCAAGACCGCCATCTGCAATCTGCACACGTGTCGCACCGGACGGTCCGAATCCGCGCCCCTACATACATATCGGATGAACGGAGAATCCCTCCCTGCCAATGTCATTGGTATCTTCATATCCACGTTCTCTCCCATGTGCGAAGCAACTCTCCACAGTTAGTGCCCATATGCACAATTTGTATCTCACATGGCTGAATACACATGGCTGGAAACACAAGGATGCAGGTAAGTGTTTAGATAGTTTAAAGTTATTCGTACTTTTCATTCTGCCTTCGTGCCCATGACAGAGCCACAATCTGCACCGGTACTATATAGTCGAATAAAGGTAAAGAAAAGCGGGGAAAAAACAAGGGACGGACCACAGTGGTGAGACCGTGGCCCGACGCCGAACACTCAAACCACAGACCGAAAGGGAAACTATGGACTAGTCTAAGAAGTATGTACACATCAAGAAGAAGAAGGTAAAGAAGAAGAAGAAGAAGATTAAGATCAAGATCAAGAAAAAGAAAAAGAAAACACAATTGAAGCCCAAAAAATCAAATACGCCCGCCCCGCTAACCTTTTTCACGCACACAGTAAAGTAAAGGAACCTTAACAAAATACAAAAGAAACGGCCACACCCAAAACCCCCCCAAAAAGCAAACCGTATTAATCCCCCGAACCGCTAACGAGGGCACAGCTAAGAAATGACAGCATCTAGGGCACTCGTGACACACGATCGTTATGGGAAAGCAGGGCCAGCCCGGCAAATTGTTTCTATACGCCCCAGGAAGCCGTCTTTTGGATCGAAACCATGCCGGACAGAGGTGGGAGACACGAGTTGAAGCTGGCCGTATCGTACGATACGTTTCTGGGTTGTTGCTGGTGACAATCGTACTGCTGCTGCTGTTGATTTTGCTGCGGCTGCTGCTGACTACCGAGAAACATCTGCTGTTCCGATTCGCGGCGACCGAGGAAGCAGCTCAGAGCTTGCGAGTGTACGTTCAGCGGATTATTTCGTGAGTGGCGAGAGATGATGTCTACTCGCTGAGGACAGCCGTCGTCTTCGTGCCTATTATTTCTCGTTAGTAACTGGGGCTGTCAGGGGAAACCGGAAGGCTTGATCTTACCTGCGAAGGGTGTCCTTGCGCGCAAAAGTATTTCCGCAGAGATCACACTGGAACTTCTTGTCCTTGGCGTGGACGCACTGGGTATGTCTGGTGAGATCCGTCTTCCTGACGAAAGCCTTCCCGCAGTCCTGGTACGGACACGTATGGGGCCTCGGTCGGTCGGGGTTGTGCGTCTCCAAGTGGGCATTGTAGTTCCAGATCCGCGAGAAGTGCTTGCCGCACTTCTCACATGTCCAAGTTGCTTCGCTGGCTTCCGTGAGTTGTCGCTTCTTCTTGTGCCGCGATGAAGACTGTGGTGAGGATGGCTCCGCCGAGCTGGAGTACGGTGAGGGTAGCATGAAGTCATCACCACGTTGCCGTTTCAGGGGATTGCTGTTGCCATTGCTCGAGACGATTCCGAGGGCGTGTTCCTCGTACCCCGATGCGAACAGACGGTGTTGTTGAAGGTGTTGTTCGTGCATCTGCTCGTCGTCCTCCTGTTGGAGGATGTCTTCGATGAACTGGATCGGTGGTGAGTGCGGTCCAATGCCGGCCATGCCGGGCTTGACGTTATTGTAGCTGGTGGGGAGCCACATGCCGTCCTTGCTATAGTCGACAACTTTATCGTCGTATTCGCGCTTATTGTCGAGCTCGCGTCTGCTAGGAGGCGACATCAGACCCTCCTCGTCGGAGGCAGGCGGAGAGAGAGGCAGGGTACCGAGGTTGTGGGCATTCCGGGCGGAGGAGTATTTGTATCCGGGGGCTGGCGGATGTGCAAACGCTGTCTGGTGTTGCTGGGGAGGAGACGGTAACGACTGGTGTCTCTGGTAGTGAAATTGCATGGTAGGATCGAGCCTCGACGAGGAGAAGGACGGGACGCTCCGGTGTCGTGAAGGTACCTCGTGCCAACGCTGCTGCTCCCACCCACCGCTGCCATTGCCATTGCCATTGCCTCCTCCACTTCCACCTCCACCTCCATACCCTCTTCCATCACTGCTCTGAGACGCGGACAGACTTCCACAGCCAAGCTCCGGAGTGTGTTGTGGGGACCGATATGCAGCTGGCGAAACTTGCGGCTTTGTCGAACCCATCATGGACATCTTTGCTGGACTCGAGAACGAAAATAATAATAACAACGGGATGTCGAAGGTTTCTGAGGTTCGAGGCGACAATTTGCTATTTCCGTACTGGAACCTATGGCAGGTGCGGGAGCGGCTGTAAGCGGCGTATAGATGACTTAGGGCTTTTCCGTCCGGGCCTGACGAATTACGGAAGTGCTTGCTGGCTTGGGAGGGGGGAGGGGGGGTAGGGGGGGGGGGAGGGGGGGCGGATTGGCGTATTGGCGGAATGTCTCTTCTGAAGAACTTGTTCAAGTTGACGGGTGGTTCCGGGGGGGCAGCAGTATTATATTTCTTTCGCAACCAAGTTGGAGGAGGGAACTATGAGTTTGAGATGCGGTGATGGCAAGATATGGGTGGGGATGATGGGAGTATTTGGACTGATTGACCGATTGACTGATTGAACTGGTGATGTTGAGGTTGACGCACTGCACCAACTCTAGCAGTCTGGGAATCGATGGAGGTGGGGAGGGCTTCACGCTTTGTAGGTGCGAGACACAGGCCACCCAAGCTGGCTTTAATATGTACACGCAGCACTTGGGAGAAGGTGAGCAGTTGGTGCTGCTGCTGGTGCTGTGTGAGAGGCTTGTGGTGGATAGGATGGATGTGGATGTGGATGTGGATGTGGTAGGGCCTGGTACGGAATGGCATGGTATGGTATTTGGGGGGGGGGGGGGGGGGTGGCAGAATGAGAGATGGTCTTGACCGGAATAACCACAGTACGAACAAGCCGGGCCAGACAGCCAGTTAGGGCCAGCCAGCCAGCCATGGGACAGGGCGAGACAGAGACAGAGACAGAGACAGAGAGAGCGAGGGAGAGGGAGAGAGAGGAGAGAGCGCAAGAGAGACCCATGTCGTGAATTAGACAAGGTTAGCGAAGAGGGAGTGGGTAAGTAGCAGTTTTGCAGCCACTGGGACTGAGTGGGACCGAACTGGGACTGCCTGGGACTGCCGCTGTGTGTGCTGCTGCTCATCCACCCTCGCAGAGTGGCAAGCTACTCAATAAAAAAAAATGGTCGAGAACAGACGCCCAGCGCGGCGCTGGCTGCAGCTCGGAATCCCTGCCGGCGAGAACGCTGGGTGTGCTGTGGTTTAACCGCGTCAACAATGCGAGCTGCGACACCACCCCCTGGCAACCCTGGATTCATGCGTGCGTCTAGCGGCACCGAGGGTGCATTTAATTGACACCTACTCGTATACTTCCATGCCACTGCATTCTCCCTCTGATGGGTTCCCCATTCCACCCAAACGAAAGAAGATGACAAGATGGGAAAGAAAGAGAGAGAGAAAAAGAAAAGAAAGAAAAGAAAAGAAAAAAGAAAAGGTGGTGTGACCCAATTATCCCCTCCCATATGATCCTCCCATATGATCCCACTGTTATTCGGTCCCCAACTTGTAGTAGATACGAGTACTTCTTACTCGGTAGGTTGTTCCCACTCACACCCCCCGAACCCACACCCCCTACCAGGTCCTCCCTATCACCCCCCAATCTGTCCTCTCACTCACGGGTCTGTGACAAAATCGCATCCATCTTCCTCGTTAGCTCTTCGACCGATATTCTCACTCGCCTGAGTTCCTCCTGATCTTTAGGCGCGAGGCGATTAAACCTAGATTCGACAGGAGGCTCGGCAGTTTCAAGCCGTTCGTCTATGCTCGACGAGCTGGTCGGTGCGCCGCCGCCGGCGGCCTGGAGCCCTCCGTTCCCGAACCCCAGCCGACCGCCGGCCAGTCGGCCTGCGCCTAAGCGCCCAGTCGCCCCGACCCACATCGAGTGGCGATTGAGAATCCCGATGCCGCCTATGCCAAGTCCGTGATGGACTGGCTTTTTGTCGTTGCTCGGACCCCATGAGAATCCCCTGCTGCGAGCGTTCGCATTTCTCCCTTTGATTCTCTCAAAGATCAAAATAGCCAGTGCCTGTAAATCCGAATACATTAACATTAGTTACCATCCGCGATGTGAACGAGCTCCAACACCAACAAGCTCAAGCCACTCTCTTTCTACCACATATGTACGAAACGGCTAAGGTTAGGGCCGGCGGAGGGGGAAGGGGATTCCTACAAAGAGGCAGTGCGAGAACTTGAGTAGTGTGATTCTCCCTGTGACCCAAAAGTCAGCTGTCGCGTAGGGCTTACTGTATATCTGCAAGTCTTGGAATTCGCCTACATTTTCGGAGCTTCTGCGACGACACCACTAGCCGAAGTGGGCGCAAGAGGATCAACGGTAATAGGTTCTGGACGCCGTGTCAGAATATAAACACGATTGACGCCCTGACCAGCGGAAACTTCCGATCCTGCATGCATGTGAAGATACACCTACCAGCGGCGGATAAAACACAACGAGCCGGTTGCTCGTAGACGCCTCCAGGACCATCGTAGAAAACCTTTTAGGTTTATTACCGGTGTGAGTTTTCCATATCGACGTGCAGCTGCCAGGGGAGGTGGGGCGGGGGGCGGAACATACATGAACAGATACTCCTCTCTTAGAACCCAACGGGATCGTTTAGCGGGAGGTTGCACTACGCGGGAACAGGGAACGGGCAATGGGCGAGGACAATTTACCTAGCGTTCGCCATCATCTATATCTGAAATTAGCCCATGTTGGTAGTGAGAATCGTACGCTCAATGGGCAATAAGTACTAACATTGGTCAGACTGTTTGAGAGCAGACTGATGAGCGACGTGATGAGCAAGATGTTGGTCATAATTACGAAGATGAGCATCAATGGCGGCCCGAGGATGGGTGAAATCTGTCGGAACATCAGTGTCTTGGAGACTCGGGCTAACCATAGGACACCACAACGCCAATCCGATCCTTGAATCACATACTTCTCTCATTGCATCCTAGTGGTGCGATGGTCAGCGACACGAGTAATGACTGGTGAACGCGGGTTGTGCTTGCTGGAAAGATTGGCAAGGAACTCACAAATCCGACATAGCTCTAAAAGACGGAGTCGAATTAGTCCAATGGTGTTGCCAGCATCAGTAGTCCACTGGGCTCATTTCTCATGCTCACCGAACCGAAGAACACTGGTGAGTATACGAATCAGCTTCCATTCCGGGATAGCAGCAGGGGAGCAACGATTGAACGAACCATTGATCAACATCCATGATACGTCTTTGAACGACATGCGGTCGCGGGCCAGTAGGGAGAACGTAGTGAGAAAGCCTTGATTACAGTGGGTCAGTCACACGGCCACGTCGGCATCTCGGGAAAAGTGAAGCTCGAGTTGCCGCATACCGAAGTATAGGATCAGGATCTATGCGAGGTCGGTACTTGTCAGTGGGCTTTGGCAAACCAAAAACTCAATCGGGAAATACGACTGCACGGACCAATACGGAGAATTTCATAAACTATTACTACGCATCAGCAATGAGGTCGGTCTAGCCAGCAAGAAACCTCTCACCTCTTTGGTCATTTGCTTCAGGCAAGGAATCAGAACCCCTGCGTAGTCTCTCGTTAGCCAAACTCCCCGCGTCGAGGAAGTCAAGTGATTTCCCGGATACCGAAGTATGGATCCAAAGTGAACAGTGAAAACAGCCTGGAGTATCGTTATTAAAATCATGTTTGCCGGATAAACTTGGAATACGAGTATACCTTGGTACGAGCAGCAGTGCCTCCAGTGAGAGAATATCGAATGCCGTGTCCGTGATATCATCGCTGTCCTTCACCACTCCGGATATACCTGAAATACGTTAGTCGAATACAGATAGCAACAGTCATCGGGGCCGTATATACGGAAACCGAGGAATATCACTCCGATAAGGATGATAAACATGTCCAGCCAGCTCCAGAAGTCGGCCGCATAAAACGTGACACCCGAGTCCTTCATGGACGAGAACTCGTCCACGGCAAAAGCAGTGAAGAATACAATCAAAGCTATCTCCGATGGCATGATGCGATACGGGTTCCGCTCCACGAGAACGAAATAATAGAGTCCGAGTAACGTGGCAAAGAACAGCGCTTCGAATGCCTTCTGATACTTGGGAACCCTAAGTCTGCAGAACGGATCGGCTTTCCGGGGATTGAAGAAATGGGGAGACTTGGATCCATCAACGTCCAGTGACTTCCAGAATGATATCGAGCCGTCCCAGCTTCACGATCGTCAGCATCAAAGAGACAGATACCAATCAGACAGACAGAACGTCTACCCACATTCCGTTGATGATCTTCTGAACAGGTCGATGCGAGATGAACTTCTTACAGTCCGCCAGGACAGCAATTTCCAGCGTCGTCATTCCTACGAGAAGCAACTCCATCAGCGCCTAGTTCCGCAGCCCGTTTTACTTCCGACGCACCTTCATATCGCTTCCTTCTACCGTTCTCGACATCCGCGCCACCGGAACCACCTCCGTTCGACTGGCCACTCAGCAGGTACGACGATTCCGTCGGCTCCGCACCGCTCACATCTAATACCGACAACTCGTGACAGAGATACTGCAAGGCTTCCGCCGCAGAGAGACTGGACGTCAAATCGCACGCGACGACTTCACATGCCAGCGCTCTCGTCATATAGACACCCACGCCGAAGCCCTCCCCATCTTCGTCGCCCGACGCAAACTCCGCACGACACCAACTATATATCCGCACAGTCAGAAATCAGCTCTTCGTAACTACGGGAGTAAGAATCTCGTCGTCGTCATCGCCGCCGTCGCCCGTCGCATGCAGATTTTGTATGTCTTCGGTTTTGGGAGTTCAGACTGACGGATCCGTCGTCTGCTGGGTAAATATCAAATGCAAAAAGGACGGGTGTAGTTACAGGAGCGCGGCGACGGTAGCCGGGTTATGGCCTAATCAAGTCGCAATCGAGTTCCCATTAGCAAACCGAATCATGGACAGTGAACAGTGCGGGCACTAGATAAGTGCGGAGAGAGCTCTCACTTCGTTCCGCAAGCTGTACGCCGAGATGCGACACAGCCGGCACGAGCTTTAGCGAGCTCAATGTCTGTGGTGCTTCGATGTGTTCACTGACTAAAAGAAAACGAAAGAGCGCACGAACGTCGTGCCAACACGTTAGCTCACTGTATCTACCCCGTCCGGACTCCGCTGGGCATGCGGTTACGTTATATATATTGTTTGCCGCGCTGTATGGTAACTTACAAAACGATATGAACGTATCACACATCTCCGAGAAATTCATGTCATCGTGAATTATTGGCGGATTTACGACGGATGCATCGAATCCATCGAACTCTGGTCGCGGCGAGCGATGGGGGGTTCGTACATACGACGGCATGCAGCCGAGGTAGCACTTCAGTAATGAAGAATTTGGGTGCGTGGAGAGGAAAATTTGACTCGGGGGTCAAGAGCTGGGGGGGTGGCTGTGAGAGACTCTTTAAGTAGGGAGATAAGGAGGGAGGGAAGGAGGAGAGAATGAAATTCCTCAGGCGTTCCGGGCGATTTGGCGGTGAGGTTGCTGGAGTGAACCCGGGGCGTCAGGTTAACTGCCTTATCCTGGTAACTACAAGGGAACTGCGTGGGTAGCGCGCAGGGCCTCCAATCACGTTTATCTATACCCCGTGTGACTCGTGTCGTCACAAGAGATCGCTCAAATACTTCGGCGCGGTCCAGAACGAGGAAGGCAAGTAGCGATGTAGCGCCCTATGTAATGTATTTTGTACAAGAACCCCAACTATCACCCCAAAAAACCGTTTGACGAACCCAGCCTTCCTTTGATCATTAAAGTACGAGGTATGTATCCTGCCGTCTCTCTCTATTCCTCCATGAGATCCGCCGAAGGTCCCTCCCTCAGCACCTTCTCCAACCTCGCAATCTCCTCCAAGCTTTTCGCGGCCCTGATCTTGTCTTCGATCTTCTTCTTTTCGGCCGCCGTCAACCTGACCGCATACTCCTTGTTTCCGCTTCCTGACGATTCGCCCAAGTCGAATGTGCGCGACTTGATGCCCATGATCTGTTGCGCTGGTTAGCTCAAAGCTTCGCCTGTGGATAGCTGCGAGTGGGTGTTCCATACCTTTGACGCAAGCGGTGATGGCTCCTTCTCGGTTCCAAATAGCTCCTCGGCGCGCTTCCGCTCGACATCCTTCACCTTCTGGTAATCGAGAAATCTAACAGTCGGACACTTCCATATCACCCAGTGCCTGTAATGCTGGATCCGCAGTTCGATTAGCCCCATCGCCAATCGCCAATCCCCGATCATTCACAAGACGTGGGGCCCTTACGTCTTTCCTCGTCACCGGATTCTCCAACAGAGACAAGTGTACAAGCCTCCTGAACTTGCTCAACGGCTCCAGATCGCCCAGTTCGGAGAGGTTGTTCGCCGTCAGGATCAACACCGTGAGATTTGGTATCGACTTCACGAGCGTCGGCTGGATGACGGATATTCGGTTTCTGGCGAGCAGCAGAGTATGTAGTCGCTCAGACAGCGGGAAGTTTCCCAGCTGCTGGATATCGTTGTCGGTGAAATCTATCGCATCTTGGGGCTTCAACCAAAAAAACGAAACAATATGTCAATCGGGTCAATCCATAGAGGTTTGGAGTGGGGAGTACGCACCCCCGCAACACCAAGATTCTCAATCGCGGGAATCTTGTGGCCTTCAAGAATGTGTATATGTTCAATATAGCTCATAGATCAAAAGTGTAGTACCTGCTCTTTGGGAAACGCACCTCTGAGATCCAGCTCTCTATCGTTGATGGGGTTAAGGAAACTCGGCGTCGCCGCAAGAATCTCACTCGTCAATCTCATGGTGTCGGGAACGGCGAACTGATTCGGAAGTGTAGATGACGGGAGGGAGCGCGACGGTGTTTGGCGGGTTGCGTGGATGGATGTTGGTGTTGGCTTTGCAGTGGGCTTGGGCGTGGAGAGCACAGTGCGGGATTCGCTTGGCTTGGCATGCGCTAAGACGAGTTTGTTATTGCGAGTGACGACATGTGTCTCGTCATGTTTTGGTTCCGTCGAAATTTGGAACTCCATCAACCGGGGCCCTCGGGTTGTATGTATCACACACATGGCCCTCTAGCTTTTTATTCTCTCCAACTATCCGGCCAGGACGCAAACGTACTACATTATAGGGTGGTAAGGTACAGGCCTCCATCATCAACTTCCCAAAGCCTGCGAAGCACCTATTCATCGTACACATACCCATTCATCTCTGCATATGCTTCCGCCGGCCTTGGGTCCGCCCTACAAAAAGTCGTTTAAAGAGGGAAAGAAGGAAAGAAAAGAGAAAGGAAAATAACCCGTGCCCAAAACTCCACAAAACAAAACAGATGCCATTCGCCGAGCCCCCCACCCCTCTCCCGCGGATTCCAAGTTTGCTAGGGATATGAAGAAATGAATAGTCTGAACCAAAGGGGGTATCACCCTTCACGAAAGTAGTAACTGCGAGAAAACAAAAGGTGAGAAAAGGGGAAGAAAAGATGAACCAGATAACGCCTCACTCCAGGAGACAGATATCGAACATATACACGGTGCGCGAGCTAGGAGCTCCAACATTGACCCAACTTCAACCCGCTCAATTCGTGGTGCAGTCGTGCCCAGTAATCGAGGCCGTAGAACCTGCCAGCCCTGTATATCGACTCCTTCCACATCTCTCCAAACATTGAAACGGCGTAAACATTGTGGCTCATTCAATTAACAGCTTTCGTTTGTCTCCAACCATCGTCATTCCGAGGCAGTGTAGTGCGTTGGTATCATAGGGCCGTATAATCGTGGGCGCGGGCAGCATGGGGTTTTCGATGTTGATGTGATATGCATCTCTCGCGGCGAGCTCTATGGCATCCATCTCGTCCATGCAAGTTTGGTGGTCAAAGGGCGAGACTATTATCCTCTGTCGGACTTGGATATCTTTGCAACTAGACAGATGGGCCTTGGAAGCTTGTCAGCGACACATGATCCGGAGCTCGAGAGGGTACTGCGGACAAACTTTGACGCAAACAAAGTATTCAATTTTGTATAAACTCGCCGTCGTAGTGAAGCCGGATATCGCGTTAAGTGGAAATGCCGATTTGACGCGTGGCAAGAACCCGTCGCTGTCGCGCAACTCCTTGGCGGGGAATCTCAAATTTATGGTCGACATGTAACCTTTTTCAGGTAGCTTCATCCCCACAACCTCCTTCTTCGATATGAGCTTGTTGGTCTTGGTCGTTGGCTCGTCTCCTTCTGGATTGTAGGTGATTTGCTCTTCAATGGTGGCCACGATCCTCGAGATCGATACCTTCCTCGCTTTGGTCATCCAATCAGGGTTCGGTGTCAAGCGTACAAAAATTTCCACAGGATCATTCGGTCCAAACGACCAGCGCGACAAACTAGTCCCCAAAGTGACAACATGATCGGACACTCGCTCTTGCGACTCGGGTCTATTGTACATGCCGAATGTTGACAGCGTATCGTATCGACAGAGCGGCACGGGGAAGGCGTGCTTTTTGAGGTCGGCGTGGCCCTGCTGCACGGAAACCACCAGCTCATAGTATGTTTCGGCGACTCGCGATGGCAATTGCAAGCTCGCAGGCGGCACCTTTACGATATCGTCCCCAGCCCTCGCGAAGGGAATGAACAGGACGAACGGTAAGTCCATAGCGAGGACATCCTCGAATGGCTTGCCAGGTATGCACTGAAACAACCGCATCTCCTTCCCGACCAAATCTCGAGTATCCTTTCGTGGCGCTGCGAGGTGGTTCCCGATGACTTTGTCGGCGTGAGGGTGAATTGATTCTCGTCGATAGAGTCCGATGGACACGTATGATATTCCGACCGGAGCACTGACACCGCCTTGTGGACGGATCTCAACCTTGCCCTCTATCCGCGGCTAACGGCGTACCGCCAACGTCAATGCTTCTGAACCCCGGAGGCGCGACGAAAGAAGGAGAAGTTACCAGTGTCGCGGATATACCGGGGTATCCCACGAGGAAGTTGCTATTTGGCGGGCCGGAGACACGCACAAAAGCTATGACCGGAGGTGACGCCCCGCTGCCGACACGACCGAAGCTCGTTGTAAGGTCCGACATGGCCTGGTATTCTCAGTTGGGCGGAGAAGGTGTGGGATGCTCGGTCCCACACCACTACCGGACGGGAGGAATGACGGGATTAAACGGGCGCGCCGGTAGAGTTCCGTGGAGCGAGGGATCTTGCAAGAGCTCGTCGGGGATGGCGACAGCTCCGATAACAGCGACGGCGGCGGCGGAGTAGCGATAATCGGTGTTGGTTGGCTGTTGTGGAGGAAGGAGGCGGACAGCGGGGAGAGCTGAAGTTGATGCGGCTGGGATGTTGCGTCCGCGGTAGCGGTAGCTGCAAGCAGGGGGCGACGATGATATGGAGAATCCACCCACGCCAACAGCAGCGACTACCTCACATATCCAACTGACAGGTCAAAAACATATAAACTGTCATCTTTATTGATTTGTGCAATAGGCGATGCCTTAAAGCGCATCATGTGCATATGATAAACCCCAACAGATAATCAACAAGTGACGCCGGAATGTTAACCCGCGATGCACCGCACAGAATTAATAGGGGAGTGCGGCCACGTGATCGTTGTTGCTGCCTGCTCCACGTTCGCATTTTATGCAAGTCTCCGGTGAAGTCGTGTCATCAATTACGCTCACAAAAAGTTACTCGAACCTCAAGCGAGTTATATCTCATGACCACCAGATGTACATGGGACCGAATCTTTCTTGTTTGGTGGTAAGTTTTAGGGCAGCGCCGTTTTACATAATCTGAGGTAGATACAGAATCCCTTATGTATGCGGTCAAATGTGGACCTAGGAATGTCGGTCACCGATTACCTAGTTGCCGGTGGACTCGGCTTCCAATCTGATTCTTCCTCGAATCCAAGTGGCTCCTCTCGGTTCAACGATTTGACGATTTCGATAAAGCCAAGTAGACGAACGGACGGCCATCATCACCTCCGAGAAGATAGCCATCGCGAGTTTGGGTTGATAGAACTTCTTATATTTTTATCACTCGGGAGGAAGAAGCGTGGTTACGCGGTATATAGAATTATTTTCTTCGCAAGATGTGACCGCCCACAGCTCCCATCCCAGGGCTGAAAACCCAACCCGTTAGATAGCTAGCATCTAATTGTTCTACATGGCAACGGCCCCGCCAAAAAAAAATACAAAAAACAATTGACAACTCTCAAACATGCAACTTCGCCACCCGGCGATGACTAGTATACACCCGTTCCTTGTATCCCTCGCTGCCAAATGAGTATCCCTTCCGGTAAGACTAGGTCAGGTATGCTGCGAGTCAGCGGTGAAAGGTGAAGTCAAGTGTCACAAGAACGAGCACACACATTTACCTAATGTCGTCCTTTCCTGCTTAGTGGAATAACTCCTACGGTGATCCACTCCTTCTCGTGAGCCAGCAACCGACGGGCAGCCTTTTCCTTAAGGTGGTAGCCGTGTACAACTTCCAAATCCAACCGCCTCCGGCTCTTCTCTGGTTCGACTAGTTGCTTATTGAGCAGCTCAAGGACTTGCCGGTGCCAGTTTTGATCCTGCAAACCGCTTGGTCTCTGAAGAACGGATCGGAGCTTTTTCTCCAGCCGGGAACGTGCATCTTCAAGTATTGGAACACTGAACGGATCCGTGTCCGGGTCAGTATCGGTACTGGTGACCAACGACCCACTTGCTTCTTCTTCATCCATCAGCGGCTGATGTGGCGGACTCGCCGGTGGCAACATTTGCAGCTCTGTTGCATTTTCGTCCTGGGCCCGCCGCCGAAGTCTCGTTGCCGTCCATCTAGATGTTCCACCACGAGGGCCGACTATTATTGGTGGTGGACTATGCATATCCTGGGGCGGGCTATGCATGTTCTCGAGCGGGGCGACTGTATCCTGAGAAGAACCATTATCGGATGTTGGAGGAGGAGCGGGGAGGTCTTCGGCTACTGAAGGATGGCTTTTCTTTCTTCCCGGATTCTGGACATGAGCCAATGCATTCATGCGCTGCTGGTAGAGTCTAGATCGGCGGCCCATATTTTGGATGGTAGGTGCAGTTAAATAGCTGAGTTCCGGGTCCGAAGAGGTTCTCCGAGCTTTTAAGTTCATACCATACTCCAACCGAGTACATGTGACCACTACATCATTCAACTTTAGAGTGAAATCAGTCGCCACTCATGGGAGTTTGGTGCACTCAAGCATGATTTCCATAAAAACCCCGATGTTTCTTCTGGTAAAAGAACTTCACATAAACATCAGATCAGGAATCTAAATCCATATGGTGGTAGGTATTGCATAACCTGTGCCTTTTCTACTCCACGGATTTCACATCTGCTACCTGCTGCTGGCTGGCTTGAAATTGGAACCGCAAAAAGATGGCCTTTCTTGGCCGCAGGCACCATATTAGTCGTTAAATTACGGTTTCTGACTAGAAAACAAGGCGAAGACTATCCGCACCTAACCGAAGTACCAGGTGTAGACTACCGAGTAATATGTAGCGCCGGATACAGATGTTAGAGATATGTAACCCGAGCAGGCAGTAGAGTAGCGAACGTCCCCGCTTGATGGCGACCGCCATCCAACTGACAGTGCCTCGCGCCTCGGGCCGCCTAGGGTGGTACCCTCCCTTGCTGATTCGAGGATATAGGTAGTTCATTTGATACGCCATAGGCTTCTGCTTCCACGGCTTTGCGGGAAGCTTTTGGCCCTGGAAACAGCACCGGGCGATGACCTGCGAATACTGAGGACAAGAGTCGAGTGATCCATTAATTTCAGTGATGATTGTTTCGACTGGCTTAGTTATAATTGGCAGCCTCCATGAGCTTTAGAATTCTAAGTACAATATAGGCACGGAACAGAATTGATATCCACGGCACACTCGCGTCTAAAACTCTAAATCCACCTTCGTGGCCTTCCCATGGCCATGGCCATGCCCTCCCGCTCCCACCGCCGCCCCAGGCCCAGCCTCCTCCTCATCCTCATCCGCCGGCGGTAACGAATACGCCATGATCTCAAACCTCCTCCTAGTGACCAAAAACGCCAAATCCTCGCCCGCACCGAGTGCGGCACCGACACCACCACCTTTCTCCCCAAGAACGGGAAGCTTCCACAGCTTCACCAGTCCTTGAGGCTCCTCCTGCTTCCCTTGCGCCTTTGATGCTGTGCGACGCGGCAAGGGAAGGAGCTCTATCACCCCGTCCGAGAGAATCTCAGCCCACCGGATCAGTGCCGTGGCCCGTGGGTACAACTCGGTAGGAAGCGATATCATCACGGTTAGTTGCCGCGGGTACTCGCGAAGCAGCGCGCGGAGGGAGTGTAGGAATTGGAGAAGGTGCTGTGGGGCGCAGGCATGCGGTGAATACAAGGCAGGGTTAAGGAGAGAAGGAATGAGGACGCGGTGGGGGGTTGTGGAGGGGGTGCTGGCGAGGTGTGTTGAGAGCTGAGCGAGGAGTGTGGAGTAGGGGGCGGTAGAGGCTGTGGGAGCAGGGAGGAACTTGAGGGATGCGCTGGGTGGGATTGCCAGCCGCTTTGTGAGATCGAAGGTGTGGCAGAACGGGGTGGATGTGGTAGATGCGACGGGCGTGCGCGTCGGTGTGTGGGATTGCGCTGTGCAGATAAATCAGCTCTCACCCTCCCCCAGCCGATTGTGTCCAGAGTATACCACGACTGCCACCAATCCCACTTCCAAACTCTCCCAACCGCTCGTACCGCCAGGCAATCTTCATTCTCTCTGAGCCCCCCGAATCCTTCCGCTTCCCGCTGCCCTCAGCATCACCCACTAGGGCGGGAAGGTCCCGCACCCACTGCTCTCCAAAACCCACGACAGTGACTGCGTGTCCTTGCACAATGCCCTCCGCCGCATAGTACCGTAGCAGTGCGCCGCCGTAGTCAGTTGTTCCTGGCTCTTCTATGAGGAACGAGCAGCCAAGGGGAAGCCCGGCGTGGCCAGCAAGGAGGGAGTCGAGGCTTGGTGTGCCCGTTGAAGTGGTGGGTTGGCCATTTATGGGTGACGGACGGATACCCGGGACTGGTGGGTCAGGTTTTTGTGCGGGCGGTGGAGAGGGGGAAGAGGAGGCTGTAGAAGCGGCGGTGCCTGGCGGACCGCGCGCGTTGACTATTACGTTGCGCTTGCGGAAGCTGGCCATCGTGGATGGGTGTATCGTGGTTAAGTTGACGTAGGTGACGCGCGAGGTTGGTGGGGTGGTGGGGTTGAGGCTCTGGTTCAAGAGTTTGACTATGACGCCATAGCGCAGGGCGCCGTAATTTGCACCCATACCCCTATGTACGGTGGAAGAAGTTTGAGACGTGACAGCCTTGGTCCGCCGCTGAGCCACAGTGTTCAGCCCTATATACGGATTTTCGAAACTATATGTTGTCCTCACACGTCGCTATCACGTCCGGAAAATCACAAGATCTCACTCATTCGCTAACAAGGGGCACGTCGTTGGATCGGAAAACGTCGCTGAATCGAGGTTTCCAACAATCGGAGAATGGCGTCGAATCGACAGCGTCTTTGGACATCAATCCGACTAATTTTTGCGCACCCTACTCTAAACGGCACTTCCACCAATCTGCCCCCACAGGATCGCTTCAACCATCTCTCCCTTCGGGATAACTCCAACCTTCTCCCGCTTCTCACCCACAGCCCCCTTCGCTGGCAATGCGACCACTGCATTCGCAGCCATAGTGCTCCCGATCCGGCTACTTCTTTGTCCGCCCGTACTGCGCGCACCCAGACGTCCGTCCGGCCGCATCGCCACAAAGACGCGGTGAAACTCTGGTCTCGGATCCAGAGGGAAGTCTTGTTCCGCGACGACGCGGACCTTCGGTAATTCCCAAGGCTCGTAACCGGCCGCCTTCCGAAGCGACGGCAGAACGAAGAGGTTGAATGTTACTAGCGCACTGGCTGGATTGCCGGGGAGCGCAAATATCTTCTTCTCGCCGATGGTGGCGAAGGTGGTCGGCTTTCCGGGCTTCATCGCTACCCGCCCGAAGTGGATCGTTCCGTCGAGTGATTGTTCGATCGTCGGCTTGAGGAGGTCCAGCTCCCCCATGCTTACGCCACCCGTGGTAATGATTACGTCGACCACCGAGAGCGCGTCTTTGAGCATGGATTCGAGTGCACCGGGTTTGTCAGCTGCGATCTGGAGGTCGATAGCGGGGTAGCCGGCGCTCTTTATCGCTGAGAGGAGTGCCGGCCGGTTGCTGTCCCGGATCTCTCCAATTTTTAATTCTCCCGGACGGAGGTGCGAGACGACTTCGTCGCCGGTGGACAGCACACCTACGGTTAGTTTCTGGTAAACAGACACCTTTGCGACACCGACGGAAGCGAGAAGTCCGATTTCGCCGCCTACTGCACTTATGACATCGCCAGCACGCAGGATGACGGTGCCAGACTGGACGTCGCTACCAATCTCACGTACGTTTTCGCCGGGTTCAAGACCAGACGCGAGCAACTCCACAGTAGCTTCCTCGACGCCGTCGGCGGTTGACGACTTGAGAACTGTGTCTTCTACCATTATCACTGCGGTTGCGCCGGCAGGCAGCGGCGCACCAGTAGTGATCCGTGCTACTTGTCCTGGCTCGAGAGGGGGGGCTGTTCCTGGGGCTGCGTGGGAGACGGAGACGACGGGGTAGACGCCAGCTTTAGCAGTATGGTGGATTGCGTATCCATCCACTATCGAAGCTCTGAATGCTGGGACTGCCTCGGCAGCTGTCACGTCCTTGGCGAGTACATATCCTACGAGGTTCTCGTCCACCTGCATCTCGACGATTTTCCCATGTCGAGTCTCGGTAGCAATGATGGCATTCGCCTCATTCACCGAAAGCATCGGGTAAGGACTCTCCCTGTACCGTTGTGTGACGGAGGCATCCAGCTTGTTTGATCGCTGATCGGGCGTTGTTAGTGGCCTGGGCGCTTTATGTCCATGATGGTGGTGGTGATGATGATGTCCTCCGTCCGCTGAAGATCCATGTGAGTGGCGGTGTGAGCGTACACCAGCTTCCTCCTCTAGTTTCTTGGTGCCACCGGAATGCATAGCGCGAGATGAAGCTACACTGGCAGCTTGTCCGCAGGCGTGCGGCAAGAACTTTATCACTGCATCCAAATTCTCCGTTGCTCCTTTCGGCGAACCGGGGACGGTGAGGATTATCGAGCCATTGCGGACTCCGGCAACGGGTCGGGACATCATGGCGACTGAAAGGTTAGTTGAGCCGCATGTGTCAGGCCAGGGCGGATGGAAACGTACAAGGCGTGATATTGAGTGAGGCCGCAAGCATCGCATGGCTATTAAGTCAATTAGCTAGCTGTCGATAAAGAAGCTCGAGGAGAGAGTATTATACACAAGTCCCGGGGCCTCTTTGTCTAGCAGTGGCCTCACCGCCTGTGATCTACCTTAGCAAAAGTGCTAGTTCCTGCCCCGCCAGTCCGAGTTCAAGCTCACCTCCGGCGTACAATCTGTAACCGAAAAACCGGTGCCTCCCGTAGTAACAATCAAATTGATCTTCTTCTTATCGGCCCATTCGACAATAGCCGCCTCAATCGCGGCCTGGTCGTCGCTCACGATCTTCGCCTCGATGTCTCCGCTCCACGCCCATTTACTGCTGGGATTGGACTCGTTCTCATTGGCGAAGAAGGAACGGAGAAGCACCGAGGAGCTGTCGGTGCTTGGGTCCTTCGAGGCGGTGGTTGAGACAATCAGGACAGCTACCGTGAATGTTGTTTTGGAGGTCATTGTTGAATGATAAGGTCGAGTGGCCGATTGCGGGGTTGCGGGGTTGCAGATGATGCTATGTAGCTAATAGGCTATCACTTTACCGCACCTTCATCTGCACGCTGATATCATCCATCTCCAACCACTACATCTTAACCAACACCCCCAACAATCTCAAAGCAATGCCACAGTCACTTAGCTACCTCGACCTCGTCAACGAGCTCGATGGGTCCGTCTTCCTCACCCCGCATCTCCTCCCACGACTGACATGTCAGCTTCCCGTCGGCCATCCTCAATCCCACGGCGCACACGGAGCGCCTCTCCACCCTCATGCTATTCACATCCGGCACGCACACACTCGGCTACGTCCTTCCCAGCGTCGTAACCGCACTACGCGCGCTGTCCTCCCCGCACTGGACGATAACGCCCTCCACCGTCTCGCTCACGGGGCACACCGTCGACGAGCGCAGCACGCAAATGCGCACGACGCTCGAGTCCTTCCGCGACGCGCAAACCTTCGCGGTGTGCTCAGGTAAGGGCTGGCGAAACGAGCTGTACTCGGTCTACTCGCCCAATGGAGAGCTGTACCTCGAGATGGAGCGCAGCGGCGCAGCCCTGTTCGGCGTCGTGCAGTACGGCGTACACATGACGGCCTTTGTCCGTGCCGACGGCGGATTAAAGATCTGGACGCCCCGCAGGAATCCCACCAAGTCTACGTACCCCAGCATGCTCGACAACACCGTCGCCGGCGGGATCGCCTCCGGCATGACCGTGTTTGAAACGCTGATCAAGGAGTCTGCCGAGGAGGCGAGCCTGCCTGAATCACTCGTGCGCGAGAAGGCGAGGTGTGTGGGGCTGGTCTCGTATTTTATGGTGCGGGACCATAGGGCGGGAGGGGAAACGGGGCTGCTCATGCCAGAGGTGCAGTATGTGTACGACATGGAGGTGGGAGATGATGTGGTCCCACGGCCCGGAGATGACGAGGTCCAGGATTTTCACCTGCTTACCATGGATGAGGTGGTGAGCGAGTTGAGAGCGGGACGGTTTAAGCCAAACTGCGCGGTTGTGTTGATTGTAGGTCTCTTGATACTACGTAGTAGACGCGGCAACTGACAATGCACAGGACTTCTTCATTCGACATGGAATCATCACGCCGGAGAACGAACCCGACTACATCGAGATTTCGTCGAGGATTCACAGAACGCTGGAGTTTCCGCTGGCGAAGTACACCTGAGATACTTCTGTGCTAGAGTACTATCTGTGACTGGTGGGCCAAGAAACCGAGTGTGTACTTAAACTGTCATGGCTGAACACGGCCGAAACAGAATGATGAAAAAAATAACAACATCTATGCTGCGACGGCACGAGACGCAGAGTGAGGAGATGATGCTGGACGAGCGTCGAGTACTGCAGCAGAGGAGACTAAAAATAAACGGAATCCCATAATACGAGTTGTCCATTGATAGACGGGGTGTGTCTTGAGGTGGAATCTGCGTACACAATGGATACTGGTTTGCGGTTGTCGGAAGAGTTTGGGTGTCATTCGCTGCATCCACTACTGTGCCAACATCGTACAATGTGTGCGCTCCTCAAGATGTGGGTAGGGTATACGGAGGTGAGAAGGGATGGAAAGTTTTGAGAGAATATTACACATTATGCATCTATCGAATTTCGCTCTCACAGACGAATCTCAACCCTCACTAGCAAGAATTTGGCACACTACCACACCGTACTAGCATCTTCGGTCATGCCGCTCCTGCAGGAGGAACCCCGCCAATACCTTTACCTTGAACATAGATCGTCTTCTTGGTTGCTGCAATCTAGATATCCGGTCGATGGGTCTCACGTCAGAGCTTGCTAGGTAGGTAAAAGGGAGTGTGGTCATGGCATCTCAATCGCATGCCCATTCATAGATAAGCGGGATTGATGTGTGAATGGTGTCTCAGCAGTTGTTACTTATACATGAGGTCTATGGTACAGCTATAATAACGAAGGCGACAGTGATATCACCCCAACCAACGCCTGTTGCCAGTTCTAAAATAGTACACGAAAGTGTTCTTGGAGTCTAGATCATCGGTTCTCTGCCGTTTCCTTCCGGGGCTCCTCGGTTTTTACCTCCGGCAATACATCTGCAGCCTCCTCTGATGGTTTCGTCTCCTCGGGCGCCACTTCGGGGGTTGCCTCTATTGTCTCCTCTACTTTTGGCACCTCCTCGGCCTTCGGTGTCTGTTTCACAACTTGGGCAGCCTGCTCCTCCTCCTTCGGCACATCCACCGCCTCTACCACCTTCTCAACCACCTCCTCCACCTTCTCCGCCTCCTTCTCCACCACTTCCTTTGATTCTTCTTCCGTCTTTGGAACCTCCACCTCTCCCTCCAGCCCCTCCGCCTGTGACACCTCGGCAGCTTCCTCCGTTGATTTCTCCACGACATTCGCCACCTTCTCTCCCATTTTCAACACCCGCACATTCCCCGTTTTTTGCTGCGCACTCCTCCTTGCCTTATTTCCCGCTCGTGCAGCCAACATCCTCTGGGCCTCCCTCTCTTCCTCCGTCTTCACCACAGGATTCTCTATACTCGTAAACATCTTGAGCACCTCATCCTCAGCAATCCCGGGACCTGCGCTTTCCAAACGTTCCAACAACCTAGTCATCGCCTTCACCATCTCCATGATCCTCACACTCTTTTCCCCAACCTTATGCAGCCGCAGCACCGGATCCGCCAGAACAAGCGTGTTCGCGACCGGCCCGGGCTCCTGGACCACGCCGGTCTTCACATCCACGACCCCGCGGAACATTTCGAGGTCGGGATGTGTGTAGAAGCGCAAGTACTCCGTGAGCACTGCCCACGGGGTCTTCGGGAGTTTATTGCCGACGCGCTCGTAGCGGTTCAGGAACGCGACCATGCTCAGCGTGAGGCCGTAGCTGCCGATTCCGCCGTACAGCGGCAGGTCGAAGTCTGCCGCCTTGATCCACGCCTTGAGCAGCACCAGCGCCTCCTTCGCACCCGGTCGTGCCCCGAGCTGCAATGTGATGAAGTCGTTGCGCGCTACCATCGGCCCAAGCGGCTGGTACGAGACGTCAACCGCTACATCTTCCCCCGTGTCCTCTGTGGCTGGCACGACGTATTTCAGCACGGGAGCTGGGGATAGCCGTCCGACGAGTGACATCGGCGTGTTGGCGCTGAGGCCGGCGAAGATGTTGGCGCGGTGCAGCCGCTGCGCCCAGGTGCTCGTGCGGACTATGGTGTTTTGTGGCACGGAAATGACGATGTCGATGTCACTGCCGCGGAGGGCGAGGCCCGTGGGCCAGGAGCCGACGGAGATGACGGTCGAGTGTGGCCATATCGGTTCGATCACGGCACGCTGCCGCGCGAGGATCTGGCTGCGCAGGAAGTATGAGGTGGGGCTCAGGAGGAGAGAGGCTGCGACGTTGGTGAGCGCGTCGGTGCTGGGGGCCGCGCGGAAGGCCATCGTTGTACTTGTGCTAGTGGTGGCGGTGGGGGCAGAGGTGGAGAGGAATTGTCGGATCTTCAATAAGATTCCCCCACCATAAATAAAACTCATGCACCCCTGCACGTCAGCTTCCGCCCAGCCAAGCAACAAGCCCCTTCACCCCCACCAGTGGCCGTTAACCACTCCTGCCTTCAACAACAACACGACCACAACAAACACCTCACCACCACCACCCACAACAGCAACAACAACACCAACATGCCTCCTCTCCACCCCTCGCGCACCTCGATCCGCCCCAGCATGGCGCCCTCCAATGCCAAGGCGCGACAGGTATCGCATCTGACCAGCCAGCTCGCGCAGCTACAAGCGAACCTTGCCGACCTCGAAGACATCGCGCGCGTCACCGCCGTGCAGGCGGAGAACATTAAGGTGTTGGGGAGTCTCAACTGCGCCATGTACGGGCCCATTCCCCGACATTCACCTAGTAGGGGACGGTGGCGGGGGCTAACGTCGGCAGGTTAATGGCCGCGTCGAAAGTCCTGGGCGAGACCGGTATCGGCCATGGAAAGCCGAGTCCGGCGGCGAGGGGCGGTAAGAGCGGACATGCGGAGGATGATGATGGAGACATGGAAATGGCGGATTGATAGACGCGTACCACACCTCTGCCTGCTGGTCCCGCACTTTCTTGCCCGCACTCACAGCGCAGACAGATAGACGGTGGTACTATGCCGACTCTTCTCTACATACTCGCTTCTGGTCCAGGCTCAATTCGCAGCGCACGACACTAGGAGGCACGCAACGTGACGAACACACGCAAGCTATTACAAAGTGGCTGCAGGTGTCGGAGAGTACATAGAGTGGAAGGTTGCGAGTCTGTAGCTATATAGCTCTGTGGCCGACGATGAAGCTCGCAATCTACGAACGTCGCCCATCAATAGCTGTACATATCTATTGCAGCTCACTATAGTCGTCTCCTCCAATCGTAGGTGGAATTGGGTCCGAGGTGGGGGTGATAGATGTTGAAATATCGTGCTACTTCTAAGAGCTTCCGTCCTCACCACTCGCCGGGCCCAGATACACACAACATATATTCTCTACTCCACAGTAAATTTGCTCAAAAATCGCGCCCAGCCAGTCTGGTATAATCCGGTCGCTTAGCTCAGTTGGTTAGAGCGTGGTGCTAATACCTTCGCACGGTCCTTCTTGCGGGCCCGGTGGTCAACGCCAAGGTCACAGGTTCGACCCCTGTAGTGATCATTCCTTAGCCCCTACCTGAAGGCCCTGTTGGGGTTCGATGGCGGAGCGGATTTTTTGTCGCTGCTGATGGGCAGTCGGACAGTCGGTCGAGATAGAAGCAGAGGTGGCGAGTGAGAGTTGAGGTCCGTGCTTGGAGTGAGTGAGTGAGTGGACGAGTGAGCGAGTGAGGATGCATGCATGCATCCAACTTGTATTGTGCGGTACATAGCCAGTGAAACAGGCCAGCTGGCACCTGGGCCTGGTCCCAACCTACATACATGGTACATGTTCGGAATTTCAGGCAGGCAGGCAGACACGCGGGTGTGCAGATGTGCGAATGCCGTGTAGTTATGGGCGGGATATAAACCCTCGCTTCTGGTCCAGACTGCAGACGGCAGGCAGCATAACATACATTGGCACTGGCACTGGCACGATTACGAGAACAACCGACCAATAGGTATCACCATATTACCTACCATATTACCATACTTACCATACTACCATAGGCATTTTACCTTCGGCGCGCGTTATGCAGCTCGGCCGCGGACCGTATCGCTTCTGTAGCTTTTGTTTTTTTGGGATGGGCGTGCATATTTCGCGGGAGTGGGCAGGGCATGGGACGTTTGAGCGGGACGGTGGGCGGAGGGCGGTTTAGCACGTGTTTGGTGTTTGGGAGGGCGGTCGGTGATGCTGTAGAAACCAGGAATTCTGTAGAGTAGAGTAATCCTCGCCCGATGAATGGTCCTCTCCTCGCCTCCTCTGCGATGCGAATGAACGATCCAAATGAAAGGAAATTCCAATTCCGCTCCCCCACCCCCCAAATAGGTAGCATAGCATAGCACTGGCAAGTAAATACACACAAGACGAACCGACAAAAGACAAATTACAAACCCCCCAATTCCATAATCCATAACTCCGATGCGCAACCCGTAAAACACACCCTCTCCCACAACCCCCCCTCCCCCTCACACAAACTCACTCCCCCCTCCCGCCCCGCCCGGCGACCGGCGCCTCCCAGCCGGCCGTCCGTAATTACTTCCCAATCCTGCCCTCGAGGACCTCGACCCTCTTCCTGAAGCCCTTGACGATCTCGCCGATACGCTTGATCTTCAAAAACTCATTCTGCAGCTCGTCGCACTGTCGCAGGATCTCGCGCAGCCGCTCGATCTCGCGGTTCGCCTGCTCGGCTACGCTGTTGGCCCGCCGGTGGTGCGCGGTCGTCGATTTGAGGGTTTGCGAAGATAACTGTCGGGGCTAAGTGTTAGTTACGGGGGTTGCGAGGGGGAGGAGGGGGGGAGGAGGGGGGGGAAGTACGGATTCGACGCGCGAGGTGATGGACGAGAGCAGGGCGTCGAAGTGCGACGAGAGCTGCGAGAGCGCCTGCGGATCGAGGGAGATTCCCGCGCTGGTGTGGGAAGAGCTGTGGCTAGCGGCGGTTGAGGACGACGACGGCGGCGGCGGCCGCGGCCGCAGCGTGCGCTGCGTGTGTGCGATGTAGCTGAGGTCTTCGCGCGAGATGTGGTGTAGCAGGCTGTCTCTGTCTCTGTCTCTTTCGCGGTCGCTGGTGGTGTTCATTGCGTTGGAGACATTGGGTGATGGGATGGTGGTAGGGTACGGGGCGGTATGGTGGAAGGTGAGGGAGATGATTGATGATGGGATGAGGTTGGGGTGCAGCCGAGGTAGGTAGGGGTGCGTGGGAGATAGGGTGGGATGTGGGCACTGGGAACGTGGGTTGATTGGAGTCGCCGACGTGTGGGTATCTAGCGAGCGTTTTCATCCCACACCTGACAGAAAACGAGAATTCGCAAATGCGGGGGACGCCTGCAGATGGGGGTTAAGAGGCTTATTATGACGGCGGCATACATGCAACTATAGTACACTACAGCTCCGGCATCGATCGGGAGATAGATTGTTGGGTGCATACGGAACGTGGTAGCAATGAGCATCAGTGGGAATAGCATGTGCAGAATATGTACCGTAGCCGGTTTCAACTGTCGAGCTTCTTCAGATTGAGTACATACAGAACGTGGTAGTATCAGTGAGAATATCATGTGCAAAGCACCTACGGTGGTCGGCTTCAACTGTCGAGCGTCTTCAGATTGGGTGCATACAAGAACGTAGTAGCATCAGTGAGAATAGCATGTGCAGAATACGTACAGCAGCCATCTTCAACTATCGAGCTTCTTCCTCTTCCCCTCCAGCACGACCGATCCGGTGCTCAGTCTCGGCCTCTTCCCCGGCTGCCTCACATCCACATCCACCACCATCTCTGCCTCCCCCGCCGTCCCCGCCGTCCCCGCCGTCTGCTCCCTGCCCTTCCCCTTCCTCCCCTTCTTCGCCGCCGCCGTCTCACTGACCGTATCATGCACCTTCTTCCAATACAGCTTCTCCTCTTCGCCCTCCAGTATCCTCCCCACCACAAACCGCTCCTTCTCCTTGAAACCCCTGCCATCATTCCCATCCCTCATCGCCCTCTTCCTCTTCTTCAGCGCCGCAACGATGAGCTCCGAGTCCGCCGCGGTCGATTGTCGGAGGTAGCACCTGTCCGCGCCCTTCTTGTAATCAATGTAGTTAATCTGCACCTTCGGATTACCATGCGCACCCTCGTCCTTCTCCTTCTCATCATTCTCCTCCTTCTCCTCGGCGCTCTCCTTCTCCTTCTTCTTCTTCTCTGCGTTCCTCCCCTCCTTCTTGCGTAGATACCTATCCACGCTGCGCGTAACAAACGAGCTGATCGACGGCTTATTGACCTCGCCATGCAACCTCTCGATGTGGACAATCAGCCCTTTTTCAAACTCCCTCGCACTCCCGCCCCCGTGCCCCGCATTTCCCGCATTTCCCGCATATCCCACCCCCTCCTGCTCCAGCTCATATAGCGGCTGCACCAACCGCGCCTCCACCGCGCCCCTCCTTCTGCTATGATACTCCTCCTGGCGCCTCTCCCACTCTTTCTGCGTGAGCACGATCCACCCCGCTGGCCACAGCACACGATCCGCCACGTCCTGTTCGCTCACCGCCGCAGCAAGCGTGACCAGCGTCCAGCTGCGCGCTGTGGTGCTCGTGTACACGACCGGCAGCAGCTGTGTGGGCAGCGTGCGCGAGAGCTCGAGCGCGATTTTGCCGGGCGCGCGGAGGGGTAAAGAGGGCGTTGAGGGCTCCTGCGAGAGGTCAGCTACCACACATCGGGCGGGGGCGGGAGGGGGCGGGGGGAAGTACGATATAAACCGTTCGCTCCTCGTCGAGCTGCTGCCGCTGCAGTCCCGGGCGCAAGCGTATGTGATACCCGTCCTCCGCGATCTCTAGCAGCGTGGAGCCCACCGCTTCGAGCGCACGCTTCACCAGCACCTGCGTCACGGGCGGACGGTGCTCCGCGAATATTTCGCATTCGACGATTGATACTAGGTGTACATCTATCCCCCGTCGCCATCAGCTCCTGGGGCTTGATACAGAGAGGGAAACAGCGGGAAACAGTGGGGAACAGTGGGGAACAGTGGGGAACAGACACTCATCCTTCCCCCGAGCCCGCCCGGCAAGCCACGGGGTATACGGGTTCTCAGAGGAAAACAGCTGCTCGAGCGTGAGGACTAGGGATCGTGCGGCGGTTTCATCTATCGCCGCCGCTGCTGCTGCCGCCGGTTTCGTTGCTGGTTTCGTTGCTGCTGGGGCGTGGGAGGCGTGGGAGGCGTGGGAAGAGTGCGCTCGCGGCCCTATTGCGTGCGGCTTCTGGAATTGGCGCGGGAGGAACATCATCTTCTTGGTAGGTGTTAATTTCGTTTTTCAGTTGGAAGGTTATGTTGCGGGGCGAGGATGGCGGGGCAGCAGGCAGGGCAGGGCAGGGGGGAGCTATGGAGAGCTCGTGGCGCGCCAAGTCCATCATGTATCTGGCTGTCTATCTAGCTGCGGGGAAAAAAGGGCTCGTCTGGTTCCTGATTGGATGCGGGTAGAAATCGATAAGCTTGATTTTGTTTGGCTAGGTATGGTTTGGTTTGGTTTCAGCTTTCAGGGCCAGGTCCGGTGAATCAGATGTAGGAATTGACTGTACATCCATGGAGGATTTCCGATTCGTTCGTTGGTTGTTGCCCAGCTGCAATGCTGCCTGCATGTCAGACGCGAACGCGGATATCCGCCCGGAAGTTGGAACATCACTCGCTCACGGCCACCGCCACCACGACGACGCCTGTGGTTACATATAACTACGCGGGTTAAGTACTATATGTACCATCCTCCAACCCATACTTTACCGCCACAACCCCATCTCGGTCTATACCATCATCACCTCCTCCCATCCTGGGACCCGAACCGAACCCAACCAACAATCCCTATTGCTATGTATAGTGCTGGCAACGTTCTAGAAATATGCATACCAAAGATTATATCAAAGCAATCCCAACATGACGGCATCCCAGCCAGGTCCCAACCAATATTCAAACGCATTCTATAGACATCAAACGAAAGAAAGAGGGAGAAAAAAGAAAACGTAGAAAGCGTTAACAACGATTAAGGTAGTATTCACGTCCGGCTAGCGTAGGGAAAAGACAGAAGAAGAGAAGAAAATCCGAAGGTATTGAGTCTTGATGAAGATGGAAATCTCCGCGTGCTTCTGGTCTCCGTGATACGAAGATGAAGAAAACGAATGGTGGTGTCCTAGTTCGAGGGACGGGGTGGGGGTGGAGGTCCAGAACCAGAAGGACGCCTGGGCTTCTTCCGAACGAAGACGTCGGACGGTCCGGACTTCCTGTAAACCACACCCTTCTTGGGCACAGGAGCAGGAGCAGGAGCAGGAGCAGGAGCGGGGGCAGCGGCCGGGGGCGGAGCCTGCGATGGGTCAGTCTTAGAATTTTCTTTGGTGAGGAAGAGAACCTACGGTGCTCGAACTTGAACTGTTATTACCGGGGTTGGCCGGAGGGTCTACTTCCATCTTCTTGCTTGCGCGCTCGTCGTCGAAGTGGGCAGGGCGCTTTAGATTCCGCGGAGCCTGCTGCACCGGGGGCGTTGGATTATTCGAACCCGTGCGCAATGTACAGTTGGCATATCTATGTCCCTTGTTTCCGCAAGCGTTGCAAGTGATATTGGCGTCCCTGTTCTGGAGGCCGTTTGAAGGCTGATTACCACCCTGAGGTCGCTGGTTCGCATTCTGCGGCTGACGTGGAGGGCGTTGGTTTCCGCGCCCACGAGGCCCAGTGGGTATGTCGACGTCCATGGCATTGTTATTCTGTTTGTAACTACGTTGGGGCTGAGGCTGAGGCTGCTGTTTGAGCGGCATGTCAGTGTCGATATCCATTGGGTCCCAGTCGTCTGCGGCTGCCTGCTGTTGACCACCGTCGGGGGCAGCTCGAGGAGCCGGGGGAGCTTCGATTTTTCTGTTAGAGGCACGAGTGCTCCGATTGAACAATCCACGAACGTTATCCGTGAAGTAGTTACGAGCCTTAGCATCCTCTATCAAACTTCGCCACATCTGGTTGCGAACCAGGAAGTTCGCGTTTCCAAGGATGAACAACGAGGATTTCGATCTGGTGAGACCGACGTTCATACGCCGGATATCGCTCAAGAAACCCACACCTCCCTCTTCTGCCGCCCTGACACACGAGAAGATGATGATATCTCGCTCACGACCCTGGAACGCATCCACAGTGTTGAACTCGATACCAGTGAGAATTTTCTCTCCATAGTGGTTAATGAACGTCTTCCTGAGCTCGCCCAGCTGCTGTTTGTACGGGGTAACAATGCCGATGCGTCCGTCAAAATTGACATCCTTAAAGTCCTGAGTGATACGGTCGAAAAGATCAAGAGCGGTCCGTGCCTCCTCTGCGTTGTATAGCGACGTCTTCTGCCGTGCCTCCGAACCGGCGACGTTGAAGAACCTATACGGTCCGAAAACCGTACTGTCGTGCCACGGCTGTGTGCGCAGCTCGGCCATACCCTCTCCGTCCATGAGTCCGGAATCGTAGAAAGACCGGCTGGGGAAAGCACTGATCGCCGGGTGCATTCGGTACTGGATGCTCAACAGGTGTACGCGCTTAGGGTAGTTTTCCTGCATGCGGACGAACAGTGACTTCTCGTAACTGAACCTCGCAGCATCTCGAGACAGAACTGTGGGCGGCTACAAGCGTATTAACATATATATCTGCAGTGCTTCGGAAACTCGGGGCTTAATCACCAGTTGCTGAGGATCTCCAACCAAGATGCATTTTTCGCATCCAAACTTGAGGGGTATCAGAGCGCTCAATTCGACGGACTGGGCTGCTTCATCAATAATGACAGTCTCAAAGTCGACATTGATATTGCGGAGCATCTCGTGACCTGCTCCGCTCAGAGTTGCACAAATGATTTGCGATTCGTTCATAATCTGCTGCTGGCACTGACGGCGCAGAATTTCGGCGTTTCGCCCACTCTCCTTCCTCTGGTCTCGCTGCTGATCCAATTGACGACGCAGATCTCGAATGTTCATACTCAGTTTGTCGACCTCGGGCAACAGTCCAACAGGAGGCTCAATCTTCTGTGCACGTGCTTCGTCGAGAGCCTTCTGTTTTTCGGCACGTTCTGCACAAGCTTTGGTATGCTGTTGCCGCAAGTCATCCGTGTTCTGACCTCCTGGAGTTTGGTTCGTGGTTGGCTGCATTATAGCATCAACTAGCACCTCAAGCGTAACTTCCTTGACTGCAGCATTGATGGCGTCTGACTTTCCGAGCCGAACAATCTTAGGGACCCATTTCTCGCCCTTGGCTGATTGCAGACCCTGCATGAAACGGACCACCAATTCATCGACAGCAGCGTTGCTGGGAGCGCAGACAAGGACTTTCTTCGTGGGGGTTTTCACGGACGAGGCCACTCCTGTGATCGGAATGATATCGCTGCTGGGACTCAGCAAAGCACCAACAATACCGACGACCGTCTTTGTCTTTCCGGTTCCGGGAGGTCTAGGAGTATCATATCAGCATACAGTTCCGCCAAGTTTGGACGGATTTTGGCGCCATACCCTTGGATCAAATTGAACCCGGTGCCTGAGACGGCCGATATGATAGCTTTCGCCTGTGGTTCGTTGACATCGTAGATGCTCATGGTTTTTTCCACCTGTTTCTCCGTAGGTTCGACCAAAGGACTGGGCTTCGCCGTTAAGATCTCCTCACGGAGGTCGTAATACTGCATGCACACCAGAGCCGCGTACTCTCTCTCCAGCGGTGTCAAACTGTACCAATGTCAGCACTGAAGTAGGTAGGTAGTCCATAACTGGGTTACTGGGAGTATACTTCATGATCTTGACTCCGTACAGAGTACCACCGTTGCGCATATGGTTCTGCAACATCACTGGCCCTGGTTCGCAGCGCAGCGATACTTCACAGTTGCCGGTAAACTTCCTCTTTACGGTATGCACCCTAGCGATGCAATGCGGTCCACCGGTATTAACGAGTGGATCTTTGCTCGCGGAAAGCAGCACGACATCCGCCTCAAACCAGCGATTACGATCAGGCATGTTTTCGATGGTGGACTCCAACTCGACAAAATGATCCGATCTCATCCGGGTGGCAATCTTGACCTCCAGACAACCACTGGGCATGGCATCCTCCTTGGACTTCAGAAACGATTGCCATGCTTCAAGCAAGAGCAACGGCTCAAATGTTTTCTGATATGCCCCAAAGGTACTGAAGGATTTTGGGACGGACGTGTAATGGTTGACCGACATGCCCGGCGGAAACTTACCATCGTGAAAGAAATCCCACTTGAAGATCTGTTTATACAGCTCGGACATGTCCGGAGCCAGTCTAGCACGATTATCCTTGACACGCTTAATTGCGGGGGGTTTACGCGGCAGGGTTTTTCTGGGAGCTTCGGCGACCTTATCCTTGATCTCGGTCTTCGTGCGAGAACCGAGTTTGAATAGTGCGGTGCCATCGCCATCAGACGAGTCATCATCATCAGAAGAAGAATCCTCTAGTGTTGTAGTTTGCGGTTTGGTTTTGAGGACAGCGTCTTTCTTCTTCTGCAGCGCCGCCTTCTCCGCCTTCCGTTTCTCCAGGAAGGCTTGCACAGCGGCTGCATCTCGCTTTTTGACGGTTCGCATTGGGCCCCCCACCACCTTCGGCACTGCCTTGGGAGCTGGGGCTGGCCGGTGATCGCGTGGTGCCGGCTGGAAGTCAAGTTTCGACTGGGTCTTCTTCACGGCAGGGCTCTCCAGAGCCTTTATCATCTCATCATCTGGAATATCAGAGTCGGCATAGTCGTCGTCCGATATTTCTACGATGGGTTTCTCCTTAACTGATATCGAACTCAGCGTTAGCAAAATACGGTGGAATATATTCTTCGAACAAGGCAGCAACTCACCTGGAATGAAATCTGGAGATAGGCGGTTGGCGAACACTGCTAGCTCTGTCTTTTGGGCCTCCGACAGGTTTGTGTGCGTGGCTCTCGTAGGATCGTAGCCCGGGAACGTCTCGGGGTATAGATACTGCTTGAGGTTCACGAAGAACCCATCGTCGGCGACTGGAACATCCTTCTCTGCGAGGAGTCCAAGAATTTTACACATGAGCTTCATCCCCGTTTGCAGGAGATGGTCGTCCTGGATACTCAAGATGTGCGTGAAAGGGTTGAGGATCTTTGACGCATCTTGCAGCAGGCGATGGGTCCAGCTGTCCTCTCGTGATTTTTTGATCTCGTCCATGCTGGCACGGAGGGCCTGCTCGTAGGTCCAGAAGTTGTCAAACAGCGTTTCGGCGTAGTCCATGGCATTCCGCAGAAATTCTATCATTACGGACTTGTCTTCGCCTAACGCCCATCTACGACACTTCTTGAATATGGCGCCCAGGCATCTCCATTGCGTGTCCCAATGAACCCTCAGAATCGACCGTTGCCACGTCTCCAGGTCCGTTCTAAGTATTCCTTCGGTGCGGTCGCACAAGAGCTCAAGTACAGTTATGCCAATTTTGGTCCATCTGGGCATCAGGCCAAAGAGATTAAGTTTGGCCTGTTGGCGGGATATGGAACTCAAAGAAAGAATTGGAACCGAAAAGTCCTTGTAAAACATCAGTCGCAGACAATCAGCTTTATCCTCCGCCTTGGTTCCGAGAAGAAGGATGTCTTCCGCCGACATCGCCACGTCTTCGGTGCGATACATCATCAGGCACAGCAACGTCTCGAACGAGCGTTGCTGACTGAGAACGCTGTCCAGAGTGTCGAAGGAACACCTGCTCATGCTGCTGAGGATCCTGGCGAGCGGTGCGTCGAAAGCGGACAGGCGGGTATTAAAAGCCTGCATTTCCGTCTCAAGGCCTTTTTCCTTTGGAGAGATATAGAGCCGGTCAATCTCAGTAAGACCCCGAACAGCCTCCAGTAGATTTACACAAAATTCATCGTCATTAAGCGGGAATTCCGTTGCTACCAAGTCCCACAGATCGGCTCGTAAGTCCATTCCATACGTCGGCTTGGTGGGGTGCTTCCCGCTCAGGCAGTGGTGGTCCGCTTGAAGGAACCGCACATCCAGTTTGAGAGCGGAGATGACCGTTTCCTGGGCGGCGCGTTGGGCAATGAGCATATGCTCCTCCATGAGCGGGTCTTCGAACGACTCCGACGAGAAGGCCACATCCGTCACCAGCCGCTGATACTCCATGAAAAGATCGTTTGCCTGCCGCACAATCACTTCATGGCTCGATGTGACTTCCGACTCGACAGCTTTCAAAGTAGCATTGAGCACCTTCATTCCCTCTTTGAAGCACATCCCCCTACTGAGTGCTGGTAAATCAGTCCTGAAAAGCTGCCGAAGTAGTGATGGAGCGGTCGTTGGCCTGAGTAGCGGCTCAACAGAGTTGATGTACTCAGACATCCACTCGGTCAGGTCCAACAGCTGGGAAACACCCTCGACATTCTGCTTCACCGAGCGAAGAAGCTGCCCGAACAACTTGTCGTGGAAAATGATATCTCCAAACGCTGAAGCCGTGAGTGGTGAGATCACCTCCCAAACGCTCAGTCGAAGTTTTAACATCAGCGCCTGGAAAAGTCGTAGTATAGCAGGCCAAAACGGAGTGTTCGGCTGTATTCGATGCACTGCCAGCTTGATGGGGTCCTTTTCTGCACCTGATATACATTTCAGAACAACCTCCTTTGAAACGCTACCGACGATCTTGGCGATTCCTCTGAAGAAACGAGACAGTTTTATTGGATTCGTCTCGGCGTAGGCTGTACGGGTGGCAGACTCGAGAGTCATCGAAAGGGTATTTTCGAAGACTGAGGTGGTGATCGATGCTCCTATATTTCTCCAAGACCTCTCGGCCACAGACCGCAAGTCATCATCTTCCTCGAACAGGAATGTGACGAGAGCTTCGGCGGGTCCCGATATCTCGACGACACTACACAGTCGCTTCAATGCCTTCCGAAGCTCGACGTCACGCAGCATGGTAGGCTCGCAGAAACATTCGTGGATCGCATTGAAGCGGCGTGGGTCCTTCTGTAATGTCTCCAACCAGGCTTCGGCCGAGTCGGCGCTGTCCAGATCGCGGACGCATTCGGTGACGACCGGCGTGACTCGTTCGATGTCCCAGTCCTCGAGGAAAGTGAAGAACATGTCGAGGTTTTCTTTGCCATGTAGTCTGTACAAATCAGTGTCTGCAGCGCCACGCAGCGGAACGGGACCAACAACGGTAGTAGCTTCTGGTAGAATAGACGCTTTGCGGGGTAGAACGACTCGACACACTTCGGACACCGGGCAAGTTGGTCTGCTATCCGTGCCTTGAGCCACTCTTGGTTGTCTTCCTGATCGCTGAAGGAAAGCAGCATTATTGCGTGCATGGTCGAGTCCACCCGCGAAGCTTCGTCCTCGTCCGGTATGATCATCCGTCCGTTCGCGCCGAGTTCCACCTTGTTGCACAGCCAGTGAACCTCATCGTCGAGGGTGGCCAAGATCCTACACGCACAACCAAGACATCAGCAACCGACCTCCTCCCCTACAAAACGAAACAACCGGACCAGCGACCCGACAACTTACTGTAGCCCCTTCTGCACCTCGTCTGCTACGTTGCTGTCGCCCATGGTGGATCGTTCCTCCCTCTCGTCGGAAGGTCTAGATGAGTGTGTATTGCCCCCCAAGGTTTTCAGCTGACGTCGACGCGGTGGTAGTGGTGGAGGTGGGGTTTTTTGCGGCTCGGTGATGAGATTATTGACAGTGCGGGTCGAGTAGAGAGTGCCTTTTCAGTTGAGGGGGGCTACGTGGAGGTACGGTGCAGGGGACGGAGACGGCAGAGCACCAAAATGGTACCCAGAGCAGAGTGGGTAGTGGCTACAGTTACAAAGACTGAACCGTAAAAAGAGAGATGAAGAGAGAGAACGTGGTTTTGGGTTCACCGTCAAACGGCACTACGCAGGACATACGGGGGCGCGTTCGCGTCACGGCGCTTAGCTGCATGTGAGTAGATGTCTGTAGCTTACTCACGTGATATGGAATTCAGTCACACAGCTGGGGCCGTGGATGACGGATCGAGAGGAAGCTGCGATGTACCTATCATAGACTCCAGGGTACGTTGCAGGTGGAGGAAGGGAGCTCGGCGGACAACTTCAACAGTTCGACTTGGAAGCATGCAAAGTGCAATCGCAATTGCAAACTCTCTTCGTCGTTGCACAAGCGCTCCATTCGATAAACAGTATTTCAGTTGGCGTGGGTCGGAGATATCGCGCTAGTCATTCGTCCTCAAAACACGCCATATCACGATGCGATCATGGTATCATCACAAGGCGACGGAGATAATTTTTGCACACAGCCAACCAGTACTATCATCATAGGTAGTACCCCTCCTTCCACGGTGTTGCCCCCCACATATCTGCGAATACCGCAAGGACCTCCGGGCTACGAGCCGTCACGCAAGGCAGCCCGGAGCAGGGCGTAGCGATTGCAGCACGCGTCGATCATGCCGTAGTCACATAGTGCATATACTCGGGTGAGTCAAACACCAGTGGCTGAAGAGCATGAGAGCCGACTCGTCGTGACACGGTTCCGCGTAGGTACGTAGATGTTTGCATTCGTGGTCGAGACTTAACTACCGGACCGGTAGGGGGGGTGTCGTTTGTTTTGTTGGACTTTGCAGGCGTCGGGTCGACGGCCCTCCGGACGAACAGCTGGATCTGAGTCGAAGCCTCGGGACGTGGAGGTCCTCGCTGCGATCTGCATTGTAGGCTCGGAGAGTGGGGGAGGAATAGTTACAGCGCAACGGAAAGTGCCTACTGATTCCTGAAGTGATTGCGCAAGTGCAAAAAGATCATCCCCGCCGCCGCGAGATATATCGCGGGTCGGGAAGGCCATCGGTCAAGCCCTTGGCAGAGCGTTGGACTAGGGGGAATGCACTGCATCTGGCTAGAGGAGATCTCCGCACAATTTCGTGAAGAAGCCGTGATTCCTTTTGGCGTCGCGATCAAGTGCCGCTGCTGAAGTCCAGCAGGAGGCACGACGTCGGTTTGCCTCTGTATATGCACTTTGGGACGGACAGGCATGCTTATGGAGATGTCAGCATATCGTGAACCAGACATGCTTACGTTATGGAGATGTCAACGAACCTAGGTATCGTGAACCAGGCATTTCTCCGCCACACGGACCATCAGAGCCTCGTACGATTCCTTGCTGATATATACACATTCATCCCTAAATAGGTAGGAGGGCTGAAACTGCTTGCCGAGTAATGAAGGAGGGACATGTAATCCTACGATGCGAATGTTGTTTGGCATTGGAATCTGGATATAGTTACTGGATATCTACTTACTTATGCAGGGCATCTTCCTCTCAGCTGCAGTACCGGACGGAGTGTAGATTCTTGCCCGGTACAGCTATCGCGTGTCCCCTAAAGCCGCACTTCGATTGGGGATCCAGCTGATGGTCGTGATCTCCGCTCCGACCACGTAACTACCTTAGGTTACGGTCCAGAGGCGTATTCTGGTGGCTGTCGGCATCGGCGTCACGGACTTGTCCGACTGATTCCTACCGGTGATGGAGTGTACTTGTCCGACTAATTCCTGCCGGTGATGGTGTTTTGTCTCGTGAAGACTCGGCATCGCAGCCATGAAGTTGTCCAACTGGTTCTGCCGGGAATGCAGTCTTCTCTCGTGAATACTCGCTACCTGCTAGCAGTCGACGGTCATCCCTCAGTGAGACAAACAACGGGAATTCATGTCGAACTGCGGTTTTCCTCATGATCAGCAGCCCTCATCCGGAAAGGAGAACTCGGGCCATGCAGCTAGAGTAGCCTGAGTCCTGACACCGACACCTTATAGGTAGGTATCAATCGGCTGCTTGCCAACTCTAAAACACGCAGAAGTTGGTGCTCACCTCCATCGCCATCTAACCAACACCAACCAACACCTCTCTCCTCTCGATATGCCTCGACCTCCAGAGTCCAGACTGACGCTGCCGTGCTGGTCTCAGCATCTCCGCCGACCCGCAGGGACGGCGATGCCAGATGCATACAGAGCAGTAGTAGAGTCCTCCGAAAAGGCCCGCAATAGCACACACTTCGTACATTACTACGGCATCCGGCGCAACGAGCGTGTGTTCAGACGTGCCACGCCCAAGATCCAGATTGCCAGGTTCTGCGCTGCGCACGGACACCACTGGGGTGCATCTGGTTAGGCGATGCCGACAAGAGCCTTGAAGTTGCAAAGCCTCCGAGGTCCCTTTTCTAACAGACCCGTGGCCGCCATTGGCTCCTGTCCGAAGGGATCCACATCCGTTCCTCCCTACTCGAGCCTGCGCGGAGCAACCATCGGTGTCCCTGAAGGCTTCCATGGTTACTGACCGTCCTATGGGCTTCGCAACATAACTAAACTGCTTCACCTTCCTCTGATGGCATCTGAATTTCGCCATCATCTCGCCATCCACGTCCCTGGAGCGGCCTCCTCCAAAACCATCGCAACGCTCATTACTGCCACCGCGGCCATCTATCCACCCATCGCCCCCTCTGCGCCTTCGCTCGCTGTCAGCACGAACAGCTGCTCTAGCTCTGCCCCGCCCCCTCGCGTCGCGTTGTAGGAGACCTTAGCAGCCCTCAGTCGCCCCATATCCCCTCCCCCCGGACCCCCCATTCCGCCTCCGATCTCCCGACCCCTTGCCTCCTGTTCTTCCTCCTCATCCTCCTCCACCTTCTCCGGTGGCGTCAGGTGCCCGACTCCTTGAGCCCTACAGTGGACGCATTTCAAATCACGACATTCGTCGGTCGGTGGCTTCCACTGCCTGTTCGCGGCGTTGCACATCGCTTACGTTGAAATCCGCTTCCCGGGAAGCGTTCGCGGAAACGGTGCACAAGAGCTTGTTCCCAGCTCCCTCTTCCGTCCAAAAAAAGCCACACCCATACTCGCCTCTTGGAGGAAACTGAGGGGGGCCTCTGGTAGTGTATTCCAATCGTATCTTGCGTGCAGTTCATCCGAGTGGCGCTGCATCGCCCATATCTCTCGTCCATTCTCAACCCCCTTCAACAGTCGCGCAAAAAAACACTTCTGCAAACGATTGCATACAACGGCGCATATCACTTGGCACATTCTTGTATGATTTCATTCTGCTGCATGCGTGGCCACTGGCCACCCCGTCCTACCTATAATAGGGCCATGACTGACTGACCCGTGTACAGTGATCCCTCCGGTCCCCCTTGTCCGAGAACCGTTCACCCGGTACACCATGTATCCCTCTCCAAACTTCCCACAACACAGCTACTTGAGCAACGGCCTTATGGACGCGATTGACTTGCCCAACAACCACCTGCGACCAGATAATGGCATGTATTCGAGGTCACGCGCCCATGCAGCCCACTCACGCTCCGAGAGCTCCCTACACAACAGCGATATGTATATGGCGACCGACACCCAGGACCTCGCTGAGTTCTTGAGAACTTCAAGTCCCCAGGACTTTAGGAAGTTTCTGAAAAGGAGTCCTTCCGACGACCAGCTATTTTCTCTCGGCGGCAAGTCTCGCAGGGGCTTTAGCTTCTTGCGCCCGTCAGCGTCGAAAACCAAGCTCAAGTCGCCAGTCTTACCCACCACCGTCCTTGCTAAAAAGACCTCGTGGGGAAAGCCCTATCTTCAGATACAGATCGATTACGACGGAGCGCACGACCAGGCAGAGCCACGGACTACTCTGCCGGATAGGACCAGCACTAGCGGAATGTCCGATTTTACCGCCGATTTTGGATTCGGTGAGAGCCTGATGGCTCCGAGCACAATCATCAGTCCGCCCCCATCCACTATGGGCGACGCGGAAAGACCCACCCTAAGCCATGCGCGGTGGGCTTCTACGACCTCGGCGAAAACACTCGACTCGGAGACCGTGGATATATATCGGAAATACCTCAATTCCCAGAGCTGCAACGCCGACTTTGACCTCCATCCCAATAGAGAAACGAATCATGCGCCAGCCCCAACCGAAGCGGCCGGTGGTAATAACGATCGGTTAAAACCTACCGCATATCAGAAGACTCCGTCGTCAGAGGCTGTACCCAGACGTCGCAGCGATTCGTATTGCTATCTCTCGAGCCCGCAGAACAAGGCGCCCATCAAGGTCCGGAAACGGTCATCCAGTTTACGGCGAACATCGAGAGGATCCTCGCGGTCATCGGTGTACTCGGCAACGGGCGACGAGTTGCTGGATGCCGATGGCAACGTCATTCATCCGCACCGTAAAGCGTCCAAAAGGGCACCCCCGCGGCCTGGCCCTCCTCCTGCACGAGGCCTGCCGGCTCTTCCGGAAAGCCGCGGCTCGATCGTGAATGCTACTACGCCCAGGTCGTTTGTCTCGGCAACGGCAACGGCATCGTTGAGGGGAAGCAGCATCTACAACCACCGTTTACCAGGAGAGGATTTCGACAGACTTCAGCACGACGGCATGACCCGCGAACAGAAGGTCAGGGCTAAGAAAGCCAGGGATATGCAACAAGTGAAATTACGTCGCCAGATAGTCGTCGACCAGGAAAGTGTCTACACCCTCGGCAGCGACAGAACCAATACCCCGCCACATGAAGCGCCTCAGCCGTTACCAACCCCGTCACCCAAAAACAAATCGGCACCTTTCAAAGCACCGGTACCGCTAGAGAACAGCCAATCCCTCAAGGGATGGGTAGCCAGAGTACCAACCCCTCCGAATTCCCCGCCGAAGCCCCCTCGAAAGTCACCTACGCCATCGACAGCAGGATCGAAACCATTACCTCCTCCTCCTCCGTCCACCAGAGGCAGCTACAAGACCGAGGAAGAGATGCAACTCCGAATTGAAGCCGTGGAAAGAAAGAACAGAATGCTGGAGAAGGCGTTGATTGCTGTCATCCGTGGCACCGTTGGCAATGACCAGAGACAAACGGAGCTCCAGAGAGCGAACTCCCTCGAGGAGATATTGCGGCAGCTGCGAATGGTCGACCCCAATTCGGCGGCGGGCACTCCTACAGCTGTAGTGTCCACTAAGAGCACATAGCACTCACCCCAACATTTCTGTCTGATGATTCACGGCTACTACTATCATTTCATACTTATTTCATTCTTGTTTGTGTTTTAGTACCATTGATACCTTTCTTTTTTTTCCTTGGGTTTCTCCTTTCTATTGTTGAAGTTACAGATACCAGTTTGCCTTACTTACTTTCTTTTTCCTTGGTTCTGGGGTTTCCTAAATGTGTTCACGTTACGGGTGGCGACTTCTCTTCGTGTATTATCGGGACTACTGGGTTAGTTCCTTGGTTGTTTACTTCGATTTTTTCGTTAATAGGGAGGCGGCGGAAGGCTGAGGAGTTTTATTTTGGGTGTGGATTCTGTCTGTATTGATGTACCAAGTATTGTACTGTATGGCGAGCGAGAAAGGAAGATGCTGTTCTTTTTTTTTTTTGTGGGGGTGGTGGGGATGGAATTTCGGAGCGCTGCTTGTTCTGTTCTGTTCGAGATGCGGCAGAATGCAATAACGTGCCTATAGACATAGCAGCGGGTCTCTCTTGTTTCAGTTTCAGCACTCGGTACGGTATGATACCTGATACATAGAATGTTCTCACACTTGTCCTCTGCTGCAACAATGTGAATGCCATACCGGTACCGGGCCCCGTGACATCTAAATCCGAAACACTTGCTCATTCTTCGTTTCGTTCGGGTGCTGGCGGTAGGCGGGAAGGCAAGGGAAGTAAAGTAAAGTAAAGTTCTTGGCAGGCATGCAGGAACTCAAGACCCGACCCTACACACCCAACACACCTTAATTCAACTTCAACGTCAACCAACAGACGAACACACGAACGCGCGACTCATACAACCCTTTGAACGACCACCACCACCACCGAGTCACCACACTACCCCGCACCACCTCCGCCACCCCGCATCTCCCCCCATCCACTAAGAACCATGTCGTACGTCCCCGTCCCCTGCGCCCCACCTTGCCCCACCCCACTAACCCCCCGCGCCGCCTCCAGGACCGACGCGCTCCTCCTAGACAGCACCTTCCGGATCACCTCCGTAAACTCTCAAAAATACGACCGCGTCTGTCGCATAACCGGAATCCGCGAAGACCTCAAGTTCACATTGGACATCAACAGCGAGATCTACCCCATATCCGTTGACGAGACTATTCAGCTGAGCATCGCGTCGACCCTGAACCTTGACGGCACGATCGTTAGCAAAGAAAGCGAGGCCGCGAAGGGAGGCTGGAGAGATGCACCCAGAAACGCGGAGGCGAGTCTTGCCGATCAGTATGATTACGTCTGCTACGGGAAGATGTATAGGTTCGAGGAGGGGGCGGGGGATTTGATGTAAGTGATTGTCATACTGGGTGGGCGGGGGGGAGGGGGAGAGCGGGGCTAATAGGGGGTCGTGAACAGAAAGGTCTACGCTAGCTTCGGGGGCCTGCTGCTTTTCATCGAGGGCCCGCACAAGAGGTTGAGCTCGTTCAAGCACGAGCACATTTACCTCTTGATGAAGAAATAGACGATGAGACGACACGACGACTAGACGGGGCAGTGGGGGCAGGGCAGTGGGAACGGGCACGGGAACGGGGCATTTTCGGGCGCAACAAAAGTCAATGATAATGGAATTGTATCGCTGGGTTGGATGCTGGGATTTCGCTTTGACGTGACGAAACTGGAGCTTTACGATTTCTTTTTCTTCCAAGTAGACTGTAGACACGCCCAGTATCCACCACTCACCCTCCACCACTACCCGTGGCGTGATCACGATCCCTCTCCTTACAATACTCCGTACCTCTTTGTGCCAGGATATAGTAGAGTACTGGCCGGTCAGCAGTCTGCGCGACTGTCGACACGGTGGCCGAGTGACCGAGTGACCGCTGTGCGAATCATCGACATCGCCGGCGGATCCATCATCCACGTGGCAATAGATTATAGGACTGCGCAGGTACATAGCCCTTCTTCCTGCTTCAGAGTAGACACGACGGGAAGGAAGTGTAGCGGCATTTAACCATCCAGAGAAGTAGCCATCTGGAGAAGTGGGAGAGTGGGAGAGTGGGGAAGACGGTATGGCTAGGTATGGTACACACAAAGACTACTTCCGTGTTCATCGATACCGACCTGGAGTACCGGAGTCATTTCGACAATATCTACCAGTAGCCGTTTACCTTGATAACCAAGTATCCCCGAGACTTGAGAATCAGAATCCCAGAAACCCCCTGGCAAGAGTCGAAGCTTGAAGTCCTGACCCCAAGAAATCCTGTCCTCCCACTCCCCTAGTTCCCGCACTCCCAACCCCAACAGAACCCATCACTTATCACATATCCAAAACGGACTGGCCATAGTTTAGAAGCTGTGTTTATTGTTTATTCGGACGTTTATCTGTCCAAGAAGTACTTAGGAATGCTCATCATCCGGGTACTCTAATCCTGCCAATCCTAAAACCCCGAACCCAAAAAGAAAATACACAACACAATCCACAATCCAAAACGAAACCTCCCAACAATATGTATAATCGAAAGAAACAAGGAATCCAAAAGCCAAAAGCCAAAAACCAAACAGAAACAGAAGGAATCCAAAGCCGATAAGACAAAATAAGGAATAAAAAGGAATCCAAAACCGAAAAGAAACAATAGGAATCCAAAACCAAAAAACCTGCGAAAGCAAAGCCCGAAAACCGCAACAAAACCAACTCCAAAACAAAGAAAAGAAAAGAAAAAAATGATGAGGTAGTAACGTAGTGATACACCGAACTCCCATGAAGTCATGATGTGGGTATGCATGTATGTATGACTGGTGGTGTAATGAATAGGTACAAGAATGTCAGCAATGGGTAGGATAAGTAAAGCCAAGCAAAGCCAAAAAGAGAGAGAAGAAAAAAAGGATATGGGGTATGTATGAGGTTGAGACGAATGTGCGTAGAGAACTTCTACAAGCAAGAAGGACGACTATGATCTCATTCTCCTAGTATTTACTTTCCGGAACGGACTCGGCGCGTCCTCCGAGCTGGGGTCCCACTTGGGCGCTGGTGCCAGGCGTCTCGACTTTCCGATCTCGATGATGCTCCTCCCTCTGGCTTCGCCCGCTGTCCCTTCAGAACTGCCGGCTCTACTGCCGCTGCCATTTGAATCCCTCCTGTTCGAAGGCAACTGTCCGGTCGTTTCTGCCCGTTGGATACCCCGGCGGGAAGAAGCAGCCCGGGAAGGCGAACCAGTCGATGCTATTGCCGGGCGTCTGAGTTGTGTGAAGCCACCGGTGGGTTCGAGTCGTGGAGGATTGTCGAGCATTTGAGCGGCGGAGGATGCGCGGCTTTGAGTGGGCGATGTTAGCACGTTTGCCGTACTACCCGGTCTCGTTCTCGGCTCGCTATCGGGCAACATCTGGCCGAACTTTGGGGGTTCTCCGGACATGTGGTAGTGGCGACGGTTTCCAGGGGTGTTCCAAGCGGAAGGGGACGCCATCGTGACATCTGCGGGGGAGTCGGGCATCAAAATAGGTGCCCGGCGGTGGTTTTGCGGTGGGGAATCATGTTGGTTCGAAAAGATGGATGACGACCCAGACGAATCTGCCGAGGTGGTGGTGGGTGGAGAATACGACTCCCGTTGACTTCGTGGTACAAGATCATATTCCCGAATCTTCCTCTGTAACTCGATGTTGAGCCGGGCCTCCAATTCCACCTGAAGGCGGGCCTCCAATTCCACCTGAAGGCGGGCGTCATACTCGGACTGCAGTCTGGCCTCTTCAATTTCAACATGCCGCTTGATCTCATTGGCTGCCAGAACCTCCCACTGCGCCCGCAGCGAAGCATCGATTTCCTCCCACATTTGATGCTCGCGGTGCACCAGGGCTTCCCGCATATCCTCCACATCCTTTTGTAGCTGCGATTCCCTTTGCTGGATAGAATCCTCTCTCGCTTGTAGTTGCTCCTCGATACTCTTCAACTCCCGCCGAATGAGAACCAATTCCCTCTCTTTCCGCATGACCCTGAAAATTTCCATGTCGAGAAGTTCGTTCGTGTCCGGCCTCTTTCGAGGATCCACCTGAAGACACAGATCGATAACGTTCTTCAAGGTTGAAGAATAGCTCTTTGGTATAGGTGTGTACTGTCCATTTTTGATTCTGTCGCATAGGGAATAAATATTCCTACCGTCGAACGGCGGCGCAAGGGAACAGAGCTCATAGATGATGCAACCGAGCGACCATATGTCCGACTTATGCGTGTAAGGCTGCTCGCTAACCAGCTCCGGTGACATGTAGTAGGGTGTACCGACGTACGTGTTCGCTAGCTGTTGTTCTGGGGCCATCATCTTTGAAAGGCCAAAGTCGCCCAACTTGACATCTCCACCCTCTCCTAGGAAAACTGCAAGAACATATTAGTGGCCCGTCTTCGCAAGAGCACATCAAGGAGCCATACTGTTCCCAGGCTTCAAATCGCGATGTAATATCTTGAGAGCCCGCCTGTCCGATGGAACCGGGGCATGCGGGGCATTGTTGCTTACGGTTCCGAGTTCGGGTGGATTGACCCCGTTGTGACACCGATAAAGCGCAAGGACAATCTGTGTAAACCAAGTCCAAATAATCGGTTCGGGTAGTAGCGTTGATTCGCGGCGACACTGCTTGATGGTGTGTCCAAGATCGCCATTCCCGCAGTACTCCATATACCTGCCGCACACAAACCGTCAGCCCTGTCCTCCGCGCTCCCCTATCCCCCTTCCACCAACAGTATACTTACAGGTTTAGTGTGGCGTTGACTTTATCATGCTCCCGATCAAAGTACTCGACGACATTCGGATGTTTCACTTGGGAAAGGATCCCACACTCCGCCGTCAATTGCTGTCTGTCTTTGTCCTTCATGTCGCCGTAGAAGACGGTTTTCCGGACGAGTATCTATGAGGCATATTAGTATGCGAAACCAACCGCGATCGTGAGGGGCGTCCGTACTTTTCCATCGCGCTTCCGGCGCACCCTGTGGACCAAGCCGAATGATCCACGTCCTGGTTCTTTGGGTTAGCGCGCTGCCCAGTGCGATTGGGAAGAGTAGCAGCAATACCTATGACTTCGAGGACATCAAATTGCTCGGCGAGCGACATGGCTGAAACAGTCTTGGGAGACGCGCTCGGGTGGGGGAGGCCGAGGAGGAGAAGGAGGAGGAGGAGGGGGAGGAGGAGTAGTGGAGCCGTCGCGTCGAAGATATTGACCCGCGAGGGGAGTACGATTGAGAGGGTGAAACAGGTGAGCGAGGCAGGATGTTGCTCTGTTCAAGGACTAGGTTCGGGTGTGGATTTGAAGTCGGTTCGAAGTGGTATCGGAGAGGTTTAGTTGTGTTGAGCGTGGAGAGGTGTGAGCAGGTGTGTGTGTAGTGGAGTAAGAGAGAGAGAGTGAGAGCAGCTCCTCTGTCGGAGGTCAGGCAAAGAAGCAACGCTAAGGTTGTCACAGCAACAGGCGCCGGGAGCACGCAGTCGTGCCGAAACGACACGCCCGCCCAAGTAATCCCGAGCTTTGATAATCATATCAGATAAGCCGGAGCGATACCCAAAGAGGTCTTTATCAGATGGGCACCGATGAATACTTCACGTGAAAGGTTGGTTACTTGGTTAGAGGGATGCATCTCTCAACATTGCAACCGTTCCAGCCATGTAGCTCTAATCTACTCTATTCTGCAAGAATTCATATTCACTTGGGAAGGGTTTCTACTAGCTTCTGAATAGCTTTCTCATCACCTCCAAGGACTATAGTTTCACGTACCAGCAGTTAGCCTTTGCTCGTGGAAGCGCAACGCCGACCATGCTCAGAACATACCTACGCGGCCATTGTTCCAATCAACCAACAGCGGGCGCAGAACTTTCTCGCTGCTGACCTCTCCACCCTGCTTCAGCATCCTTACAGCCTCGCTCTCACTCTTGGCGCCCTTCACGATGTCGCCGATCTTGTTCGGGCCGATGAACTCGAGGATGGACCGAAGCTGGTCGGGAGTCGGAACGGTGGGAGCTTCGATGACATCGAGCTCGAACGATGCGGTAGGGTTTTTGCCAGTGATGCTGCTGTCGGTGGCATGCGCGGACGCGGACTTGAGGAGGTTCAGAACCTTGGCCGACTGCGGGTTCGACGGCGAGTGGAACAGCGTCAGGACGTCGAGGGTTTTGTGCTACGACGTAGACATTGCGACGGTCAGCGAGAAGGCACTCATCGCATTCGTGGGAGGGGGACGACGGAGGCCCATACGAAACGAAACATGGTGGGTGGGAGGGTGTTAACGGTGCGTGCTTTGAACTCGGTTGGTGGGTGTTGTCGAGGACTTCAGAGGGATGCTTTGCTTGTGCTTGCCTGTGTGGGGATTTGTTTGCGTCATAGTCGCAAGATGAAGCCCGTGTAACGTGACGGCGAGTTCCGATGCATATATGCACTATCACTCGGGATTTCTTCGATCGCGAATGGCCACGTGTGAGCGGTCATGGAGAAACTAGCTTCAGGCTTTTGTCTTTCCATTCTCCTTCCTTGTGTTCTCTTCTTGGTTGTCTTTTGGCTGCCTAGACGGAGGGCCGGGAAGTGAGCGGCTGCCTCGAGCTAGAGTACACCGTACTTGGTTATCCAGATGGCAGACAGGGCGTATCTGGTAGGTATTTGGACAAAGGGCCGAATGTATTATGACGAAACAAACAAAGCCCGAGGCCGCTAGAAATATCGATCAAATGGCTGTCAATTACTTGCGGCTTGTGCACATACTCTCGCTCTCTGCCAAAACACCGTCTGAAACAGCCTCCCTCCCTCCTCCACATGCACTTTTCCATGTCAAGCGAAGCAGGTACCTATGTGGCCGAGGCTTCCGTAGGTATCGCCTACCGGTGCTTCCGCTCTTATCAACGGAAGCGCGGGTGAATAGACGCATTGGGCCAACACCATTATCGATTACTCCGCAGTCCGCTGTGGTACGCGTGGCATGCGTAGAGAGGCCTCTGCCCGAGACCCTGGAACACAGAGTGCAGAGTACAGAGCGCAGAACGCAGAACGTACCTCGTCCATGCAGAAAAAGGCGTCTCAGTCTCCCCTCGCCTTCCCCTATCAACTCCTCGTGCTCTTCCGTTTTGCTGCGGAACCACTCCGGAGAGAGTCCTGCATGGCGAACACGCCCGCAGTCTTCCCACTTGAGCCGGCGCTTTTGCCTACCGACTGGTACAATACCCGCAAACGGCGCTGACCCTCGCTCCAGCATCGGTCGCTTGGGAGTCTGGCACATGGAATCGGATCCTTGGGTACTTGCTTACTTACTCAAGTAAGTAGGTGCTGCTATGGATGTGTTTGGTCCTGCCTTATCTGTGCGGTCCTCCAATTGCAATGTCGGGGATTTCGCATCCGCATGGAAACCTGCAGGTACTACTCAATTGCTGTATGTGCAAATTCCACTACATATATGAGAACCTCCCCTCCGCCTCCTCCCGGCTCGCCATCCGGAGTATCGTACCGTGTGTCCCACGTCGTCTCAAGAGCACCGGTACTCAACTCGTCAGCAGAGAGCGGATACTTCGCGCAACCCCCACGACACGAGACAGCAATCGAAGCGCGAGTTCTCACCGGCCTCAGCACACCACCGCTTCCGTCTTGTCAGTCGGCATTAGAACTTCGCAATGGCGCTGAGTGCGATACTCCCGACACCCAGCCATGCGCTGGCATTGCTACTGCTCGCGCTGGGAGGATATATTGTGCGCCAGCGGTACTTCCACCCGCTCAGCAGATTCCCGGGACCTTGTGAGCTTCCCTCTCGCCATACTCGACAGCAGAACTAACCCATCCACAGTCCTCGCCAGCCTTACAGACCTCTGGAAATCCTATAGCGTGTACACGGGCAAATGCCACACGAACGACTTGGCTCGACACAAGCGGTACGGTCCGGTATACCGGGACGGCCCCAATAGCTTGTCGTTTGCGGATCCCAGATGTCTCCCCGCGATCTACGGAGCTAGGGGGAACGAAGAGTTCAGGAAGGCAAGCTGGTATAATGTCTTCCCGCAGCCTCCAGGTGGCGCCGAGGTCATGCTGGTGATTAGGGATCCAGAGGAACATAGAATCGTAAAGAAGCGGATGAAGCCGTTGGTGGGTGCTGACTGTGGGGTTTCGTGGGGCAAAGGGACTTGCTGATGATATGAGCAGCTTACCGTGCAGAAACTTTTGCCGTATGAGGAGGCTATTGACGAGGCTGTTACCGACTGGGTCAATAAACTGGGGAAGTTGGGGACCGTCGATCTAGGCCTGTGGACCCAGTATCTTACCCTGGACGTCAGTGAGTTTCCCGTGGGTTGTCCATCGGTGTCCTGTCAACTGACACGACCAGGCGAGCTTGTGTCATATGGAAGCCGCAAAGGATTCATTGAACGAGGAGAGGATGTGGATGATTATATCAAGACCATAGACGTGAGTCCAAGCTCATTACGGTGAGGCTGGAGGCATAACTCACCCAACGCAGGCAGGTTTCGTGGCAATAGGAATCACCGCTCCCTCGACGCTCCTGATCAACCTAACCCAGAAACTCACGGCTCTGCTGGCCCTTCGCAAGCCGGACACCGAATATAAGGGCGGTTTCGTGGACATGAACAATGTACGAGCCTTCCTCTGACGCCGAAAAACTGCTGCTAACAAACTCCCGCAGCGAGCACAAGCTGCTGTTTCCAGTATCATCTCAGGCGCCGCCATTGATAATACATCAACCCTCGTCCACGGTCTCATGTCAACGCTCCGAGACGTTGACCCAGTATACGCGCGCAGCTACGCCATCAACGAGATGATGTCGGTGCACATCGCGGCCTCGCACAGCACCTCGATCGGGCTCACCGCCTCCCTCTACAACGTTCTCAAGCACCCGTCAGTGCACCGCAAGCTGCTCGTGGAGATAACCTCCAGCTCTCTCTCCTCGCCCGTCAAGTTCCAAGAAGCCCTGGCCATGCCCTACCTCAACGCCGTAATCCGCGAATCCCTCCGCCTCTACCCAGCGTTCATCTGCCCATGGCCGCGCATCGTCGCCGACAACGGCACAGGCGGGTACGAGATCATCCCCGGCGTATTCGTGCCCGCAGGCACCACCGTCGGCGTCCCAGCGTACGTCTCCAACCGCAACGTTGACGCCTTCGGTCCCGACGCCGAGGAGTTCCGGCCCGAGCGCTGGCTGCCGCTCGACGGCGAGCGCGCAAAGGATATGGATAATATGATGTTCACGTTTGGATTCGCCAATAGCAGCAGGATGTGTGTTGGCAAGAATCTCGCGCTCATGGAGATCGCGAAGGGCGTTGTTGAGGTGCTGAGGAGGTTTGATGCCGAACTGGTGGATAGGGCGGTTACCCTGGAAATGCTGGATACCGCACATGTGCATTGCTCTGTCGAGCATTTGTTGGTTAGTTTGACGCCAAGATGAGGGGGTTGGCTGGCGGAGGAGGTTTTTGGGAAGAAGAGAATAGAGAACCGTGGCAATCGTCGCCAAGGGTGAAAGGCGTGGGTGATATTCGATGTTCGGCATACTGGTACCGTGATACGTCGTCGCGCCGTAGAAAACCGTGCAACCCCATTCTGGCATCTCCACCAACAAGTCCCAGATGTCTCGGGACATGATACATCCAAACCATGGGTAACTAACGCAACTTCCATCCACGCAGCATCTCTTGCTACGCGGTAACCACTGATACCTACATGTTGAATCGGCCCTTCACCCAAAAGTCGGGAATCGACGGTGAGTGAGATTCCTTGACTGAAACCACTGGAACCTCGGTGATGGCAATTCTGAGTATCCCCGCGAGCTTTCGGACGTAACTATCACTCGGCCTTGTTTCTTTCTACACGTGCCCAGCATGAGGGGGCGGATGGTGCGGATGGTTCTCCCGGCACTAACATGTATATAAGCACAGCCAGATCCTGTGGCCGGTTGGAGTTTTGGCTTCGTAACTACATAGTGATTATTCTCGAGGTGCTGCCATAGGTATTGGTGGAATGGAAGTGGGTGTGCTATTGAAGTGGGGAGAGAGAGAGAGATCTTCCTGTTTTGTTTCGCATGCAGCCTATCTAGACTATGGCGAAGATCTATTGAAGTGGAATGAATCTGAATCACAACGAGAGCCGTATGTACTTAGGTAGGTGTTCATTGATGATTGATGATTGATGATTGCACTATGTATGAAGTGGGTGCCGAGGTTGGCCTTGTGTGCGTGTTGACTACGATGGATATAGGAGGATATGGATCGATATGGCATTTATGGGCGGATATAGGAGGGTATGGATTGATATGGTATTTATGGATTGATATGGTATTTATGGGCGGATATAGGAGGATATAGTTTGTGGGTGGACATGGGAGGATATGAATTGATATGGATTAATATGGGCGGATATGGGAAAATGCGGATTTATATGGCTGGGTATTTGAGGATACGGATTGATATGGACAGGCCGGGGCGGAAGGCAGGGAAAGCCACATCCGGCCACTCAGTGAAAGTTGGGTTGGACAGTGTCTTGGTTGAAGAGAAGGAGCTGCATCGGGGTGGAGGTCACCACTTTTCCGAGTCACAACTCTGGATCGAGTAAGAAGTCATGATGATTACACAAATTTTGAGCTACTGTATGACACGAGCTTCAACATTCCGTATGTACATCTGTATGTACATGTAACATGTGTATGTACGTGCCCCTCCGGACCTCCGGTAGATGCCAGACGATCCCAAAAACAAGCTTCAACAATCTACCAAGTATAAAGATAATCGAAATCCCACCGCAACGCCAAACCAAACCAAACCCAGTGCATTCTCATTCCCATTCCCATTACCATAACCATAATCACTACCAAGAAAACGCCTCCGTATGCAAATATATCTGTGAATTCACCGTCAGCCTCATGCTCTATGCAGCAGTGGAAGTGGAAAACCTACACCCTGCGCCCCCGTCCCCTTATGCACAGCCCTCTCATCGCTAAGTCCCACGGCGGCCTCACGCGTGGCCTGTACCAATCCGAGGGGACCACAGACGACGACCGCACTCTCGCCGCGAGCGCGCTCCAGCTCCTTCTGTATGAGATTCCTCACCATGGGCCGTCCGGCGAGGAAATTGACCGACGGGGGGAGGGAGAGCGTGCGATGGACGGAGCTGGTGCTCGTCTGGGCACGGGAGAGCTTTGGCGGGCTCGAAGGTGGAGTGGTGGTGGTGCAGCAACAGCATGCGGAGGGGGAGATGGAGTCTTCATCTTCCACCACCGCTCTGCAGCAGCAGGTTCCGTTTGGCCCGCAGCTGGTTTGCTCCGCCTCCTCGATCTGTGCGGCGTCCTTTTCTGTTCTCCCGTCGAGCTGGGTGTCCGACGACAACCGCGGCGTCGTCTTGGAGGATGTGGCGGAGGAGGAGCCATCAATCTCCGACGTCAACTCCAGGTCACAGGTCACATAGATGCTTGCTTCTATCTCGAGTCTGCGACCGGGATTGGGGGCCGAGGCGTTTGTGTTAAATACCGACTCGAGCGCTGCACCAAGCGCCTTTGAGAACCAACGGACTTGTCCACGACTCTTGACGACCCAGACAAAGCGAATGCGGCGAGTGACCAGCGGCTTGCCCAGCTCCCTCAGGCGAATGAGATCCCTCAGGAGCGGAATGCAGAAGCTCGCACCGGTGCTTCCGGCCAACAGGATGACGGAATCGAATTGCTCGAGCGGCCGGAGTCGTCCATACGGGCCGTCGAGGAAGACGGTTTTGCACTCGGAGGACTGCGGCGGGAGGCAGCAGGCGTGATTGTGAACCTTCCCAGTGCTTCCGGAGTGTGCGCGGACGACGAACTCGAGGACGCCGTCGGAGGGTAGTGAGGAGATGGTGAATGGGTGGGATTGCAGGGGAGCCAACGAGTGGCAAGAGAGGAATGCATGTTGGCCTGGGCGCCAGGTCATTGGCGGGTTTCGAATCGTGATGCGGGTTGTTCTGTCGGCCATTGGTGTGAACAGGGCTTTGCAGGCGAAGACGGAGGGGCGCTTGGTGGAAGATGACGCTGGCTTTGGGTGGAAGATAGACAAGTTGTGGTATGCGAGGAATCCCCAGCGCACCGTGCGATCGAAGGCCCATAGAGCTACGGGAAACCACACGTACAACTGGGCTTCGACGGGAACATGCATCCACACGATGACCAAGAACCCGATCGCGCCGATCATATGATGCAGCACGAAGAGCTCATATCTCCAACGTCTTAACGGTGCGACACTCGACACCATCAACCAGGCAAGAACAAGGAACGCGCCGAGCCCTCGTCGTGAGTGTATGTCAATCTCGAGCTTCCGGTCGATATAGTCGAAGCGCGCCCAGGACCGTAGGTAGTACGCCATATGCGTCAGCGCGGTGATGAACAGACACCTTGAAACAGACCGGTGCATCCAGTTCAGCCGCTCATAGGAGGTTCCGGTGAGGAACCCGACGATGTTGGCCTTCCCTGCCATCAAAAACACGAGCGGGAGCTGCGTGACCGTCATCCAGCCAGCGCGCACGCCAATCGTTTCGTACATCCGGCCGTTGTTCACATCGTACCCGAAGAAGACGATAGCAAGGAGCAACGTCAGGTTCGACGCCATCAGCCAGAGGTATCCGAAGGGCGGAAGGTGTGTGAGTCTTGGAAACCACGTCAGGATCTTCCCCCGCCATCCCTCCCTCCGTCGTATCAGCGGGATGGGATAATTCACAAACTCCCTAGCGATAGCAGTGATGGTCGCAAACGTCTTCGAGAGTGCGTTCTTCGGCCTCGCAGGATCCCACTTTCCACTGACAACCTGCCGCATCCTGTCGCCACGCCATCAGCATCAGCATCCGCGCACCAACAAACACTCGCTCGCCGGACCACAAACCTAATCTTGAACTCAATGTGCTCCTTCAGATTGACCAGTGTAGCGATGGCAATGATTCCTCCCGCAAACATCCAGTACACCTCCGCCAGAAACGGGTCCTCCCGCACCGTGATTCCGCTGCTTCCACCTCCACCGCCGTGCCCCGCGTGGCTCATTTTTCCGGTATAGCTGCCGCTTCGATTCGGATTTTGATGTGGGATGAAATGGATCGGCTCGAGCTTCAGATGCCCATCCAGGTGCACGAAGTGAAGAAAGCAGGCACTTCGTCGAGTTGGGGGAGGTCTAGGTCCTAGTACTAGTAGCGGAACAACTCTTCAGTCGTCAGGCGTCGGTCGAGGCGAAAGCGTGGATGGATATGCTATATGCTGTGATCCTGCGTATGCTCGCCTCCTCGAGTACCGAATCCACGAGGTGATAAGCAAGAAGTAAGATGCAGAGTGCGTAGTGGGGTTCCCAGCTCCCGCAACAGATAACTATTCTGCGGTCTGTACCAATAACCAAATTCGGACCCGCCGATCCTTGCCGTTTCCGTAAAACTTGCTCACCGCCAGGGGGCGGTTGGTTCGTTAAGCTAACTGGGATGGGATGTGACCCTGGACTACAAGGTGCACTAACGAATCCCGACCTCAGAGGACGAGGAAAAAGATGTCGATGGATGGAGACCTTGCGAACGAGCGTCGAGCGAGCTCTCTGGATGTTCTGGGCAGGCTGAGGCGGATAGTGGAGTGTACTGTGGTACCATACGCCTGTAGATGTGGCAAAGAACCTCGATATCAGGTCATAGGCAGGTAGACGGGCTGGCTGGATAGCCAATTCCGAAAACAAAAACAATCCGCTCACCTTCCCCTCCCCTCCCCACCTCCACCACCATCATAGCGGGGGGGGGGGGGCAAAAGTGAAGAGCAAGAATGAGAGAGATACGTAAATCTAACGCGTGCCCCCTCCCTCCACGCAGCTCGCCGATGCCGATGCCGATGCAAAAAAAGGAAGGAACGAACGAACGAACGAAAAAGAGCGGAAAAAGAATCGAGCCCAACTCCACTATCCGGGTACGATACATAGAGCACCCACTCGATCGTTAGACGGACGACCACAACCATCCACCGCATCCGCCGCATCCATCCCATCCCACCCGGCCAGCCATAACTATCGATAGCACAGCATAGCACAGCACAGGTCCGATCATATCACATACGTCAACCTCCCATCCTCCCATCCCATCACCCGCACAGCAGCAGCAGCACTCCTCCTCCAACCCCCCCTCTCCCTCGAGCCCAACACCTAAACAATGGCGGACTTCACGCAAAACACCTCTTCCGGCTCGAGCTCCAGCTCCAGCAGCACCTCCACCACCTCCTCCAGCAGCTCCGACAGCATGTCCGACAGCATGTCAATGACCATGTCCATGACGTTCATCACCTCGACCACGACGCCATTATTCAGCACCTCGTGGACGCCGCGCACACTGGGGCAGTACGTTGGCGCGTGCATATTCCTGATTGTCCTCGCCTTCGTGTTCCGCTTCGTGCTGGCGTGGAAAGCGGTGCTTGAGCACCGGTGGGCAAGGAGGGAGGTGGACAGGAAGCCTGTCGTCGTGCTAGGGGACGGGGACGCGGGCGGGAGCGAGGATGAGCTGCCGAAAGAGGCGGGCGAGGGCGAGGGGGTGGGTCAGCCATCGGCTGAGAAGGTGCGGCCGGAGGGCTGGGCGGGAAGGCCCTGGAGGTTTGGTACGGAGCTGCCGAGAGCGGCGATGGCGGTCCTGAGCACGGGGTTGGGGTATCTCCTGTGAGTTTTTCTCCTCTCCCAATACGGCATCAGAGGCTAATAGGCGAAAAATAGCATGTTGGCGGTGATGACGATGAATGTGGGATACTTCATGAGTGTGCTTGCCGGCGTGTTTGTCGGAGAGCTGGCTTGGGGGAGGTTCATGACTGGCTCGAGTCACTGAGGGAATGGACCATGGTGGGGTGCGGTGGGGTGGGGACTATTTGGTTTTGGGAATATCTATCTGCTTTTTTTCTCGGCGTTCGGTTGCTGCGTTTGGGATCCTGTCTTTGTTGCGCGGATACTTCGTAATTCACTACTTGGTTGTGGGATTTCTCATTCTCGTGCATTCGGGCGTGAGAGCGTGCGGATGGACCAGTGGGGAGTGGGATGTGATTGGACTCTGGATTTCGGACATGGCTTCAGACCGGAGTGTAGCTGCTTCAATGCTTCACTCATGCCTGCATCCTCCGCCATCTGACGTATTCCGTCCAGCGTCTTCCTTCCTCTCTTCCATGTATAGCACACTACGACAAGCTGAAGAACCAGTTCATGCGATGTACCACCCGTCTCATTATGATTGATGGAACGCAACCCAACGCCGTAAAGCTCAAAGATACAAACTGCAGCAATCACCCACAACCCAATTCCAGAGAGAAAAAAACAACCGCTCAAGAAAGCAAGCAACACAGCCATGCGAAACATACACAATCGTAGTAGAGTTTCGACCCCCGCCCGCAACCTCGTCATCGTAATATCATGTACAACCAACCATATGTATCATCCACCATCATCATCTAGAGAAGCCAAGCAAGGAGACCGACAGCAACGGCTCCCCCAGAAAACTTGAGCGTGTTGCCGCCGCTGGTGCTGCTGCCAGAAGCGGCGGCAGCGTCGGAGGTGCCGGTGCTGGCGGCCTCGGCGGTAACGCCCGTACCGTTCGAACAGGTATCGACTCGGACACTGGCTGAGGTGAAGGTGATGTCGGCGCACTGTTCTCTCGCATCAGTCCTGTGCGTAAATACAGTTTGCGGGAGGGAAACATACGTTGTAGAGCCCACCACCGTCATGGCCCTGCTGGACGACCTGAATAGTAGCATTCTGGCCATCCGTGGCATTGACACTGCTCGGGACCTCGAGTTCGTTCCAGCAGAACGTTCCGAGTCCAACCTGGAGGAAGGTATCCTTGAGGACGATAGTGAAGTCGTCCTTGGTAGGGTTATTTCCGAGGGCGAGGTAGACAGCGGTGTTTGCCTCGTCGTGGCCGGCCTCGAAGCTGACGGCGCCGCCAGTGGTGGGCCAGCGCGTGCGGTTCGACGACGGCGTGTTCATTCCGCCGCACGGCGACGAGGACTGCGTCTCGCCGTTGTCGCCGCGGTCCGCCGGGTAGTTGAGCGTGAAGTGCGCGCTGGCCAGCGGCAGCAGCATGGCGAAGAGGGCGGTGGTACGCATTTTGAGGGGATTGCTGGGGATTTGCTTTTGCGGGGAGGGGAGGGAGGAGGAGGAGTGTGTGTGGTGTGCGAGGAGTGGAGTGGAAGAACGAATGGCACGAACGCAGTATAAAAGGGTCGTCACTGCTACTCTTTTTTTTGGGAATCCATTACGACCTGCCTAAGCCATTTCGATGGCCCGTAGCGGACCGGCCCATTCCTGTAGTACCACCACCGCCTCCTCCACCACCACCATCAAGGAGCGTGCCGCCGGATGTTTGCGATGATCGGATCGCGGGGGAGGGGGGGGAGGTTGAGAGCTTTTGAGAGAGTTTACGATTCCAGACAAGTTTAGCGCCGAATACACCAGCCCCCGCCAATCACAGACCATCAAGGTTCCTGGGAAAAAGAAGCTTGCGTTTAAACTAGTTTTTGAGCACGTTCTGTGGGGGCCCGATTGGAACCGGTACCCCGGAAGGAGGTCTCGTCAAGCGTGGAAAGTGTGGCGGCGGCGGGAAGGAAAGTGAAGTGAAGGGGCTAAGGCAGGTCGGAGACAGCCGAGGAGATTCTTGTGCCCTGTGCCCTGTGAGTGATCGTCGGATACCTGTGACACCTTCGGGTCGAATGAGGTAGATTGAGAGAGAGAGACGACCATGTCTTTGAACTGGGACATCGGAGGAACTGTGTGCGCTACGTTTGAAAAGCAGGATCACGGGATCATACATATGATCCGCGTATGCTCCGATGTGCTTCACTGGTTGTTTCCGTGTCACTCGGTTACATGCCGACGACCGCCATCGACATCATCGTCATCGCCATCGTCATCGCCATAAAGCCTGGGGCTTCCGCAGTCTCTTTGTGCCACGGAAATCAACTCAGCCCGTCCTTTCGCCCCATCGGAGGCTGGGCGAATGGTCGAGTTGAGTCTGGCGGTGTAAGGATCCGTGCGATTGCGCGCGTTCAGCTCCTTTGCTACCGCCAACCAAGCATCTCTACACGACAAGCTGATTTCTAGAAGATAAGCTGATTTCTAGAAGAAAGAGGACGGGCGAGTTCACATTCATCCCTGGTATGTACCCGGTATTCTGCTCGGGTTGTGTATCAGACTATCGCCAGTTGCTCCGCCGAATTCCGTAGAGTGCCCGTAAGGTATTTAGTACATGACGCCCGGTCGCGGCCAGTTGGTGTGATACCTACTGTAGATGTACCTACCCACCCAGGTGCATAGGGAGTAACTACCGCAACTTGCTCGGGCATCGTCAAAGAATGTGGGCTTCAGGTATTTAGTGCGGGTTGTACTCGGATAAGCAAGTGGTTGCGCATTGGAAGGGATAGGTATTCCGAACCGAAGGGAAGAGACGGGTATGTATTCTTGATATTGCGTACCGGGTCGTGTTCGTCATCTCTGCATTCGGCCATTGTTGGCCGACAGCATTGATCATTTGCTCCTATTTTCCTAAAGCCCTACAGCCTGGTCCGGTCGAGATACATTCTAAGAGATGCTGATATCGAGAGAGAGAACATCAATTTGTTGTCGCATACGGCCTTACTACCTAGACTATGGAGACCAGGGACCCGGCCTTTCCTGGAGATGCTGACATGCGAGTTCATCTTCAGTTCGAATTTACCTATGTGCTACATATGGTGACTTTTGGTGACGCTGCAACTTGTGGCGGGGCAATGGCCACCCCGCATACGTAGTGTCCCGGTCGATAACGATTAGACATCCAACCCTAACCACCGACCAACATGCAACATCACGCATCCTGGCGGTCTCGGACTTAACACCACTACATACCTCCTCGTACATCGATCGAAATGGTAACGGAAGAATACAGATATGGCGAAGACACATATGGCGAAGACACGCAGCCTCTTCCGCCGACCGCGAATCCTCTCAAGACCCATCTCATATCGCAGCTGATCGAAGAGCGCCGGGAACAAGAGAGTGGCGACCTCCAGAACCGTAATCCTCTGGACGAGAGCGAGCCGTTTCAGCGATTGTAGGGTTCCAGCGCCTGTTCTGTTGCGGCTACGGTGTCTGATACAGGTGCTCTGCCAGATGCCTCGCCTGCCGTCGCGGAGATGTCAAAGCTGTCCAGTCCCTCATCTCGTTCGAAAAGGTCAACGTAAATGCCGTCGATAGATTCGACTATCCGCCATTGACCTTGGTACGCAGATCGATCCCCACGGGCGGCGTACGACGGTATGAGTACGGGCTGCGGTGCTGACGGTCGGACGACAAGGCTAGTCTTTGCGGGCACTACGACGTTGTCAAGCTCTTGCTTGAGAACGGAGCTGTCTGCGAGCGCGATACTTTCCAGGGCGAGAGGTCTGTAATCTCACGGGCCTCAGCGGGGGGCGCCATTGATTGATATCGAAGCTGCGTAGGTGTCTATACAACGCGCTCAATAATCGTATACGGTCTCTGCTGTTGCAGTACGATGTTGGTACCCCCATTCCTGCTGGATAGGTATCTAGGTAGTCTGTCCCGGATGTTGACGTGCAGTAGTACACGAAATCGTCGGATCCCCTACAGCCCTGGGCCGCCGGTATAAACGCGCTGCTTGCGCGGACGCCACTCGACTCGACCGACATCTCGATCCACGCCTTCCACAGTGGCTCGGTAGTGCTGAACGAGTTCCGTCTGCACAAGTTTCTACTCGCCGCACGATCCCGCTACTTCCAGAATAAGTTTCAGAAGTCACGGACCTCACAATCCTCGGAGTCAGGCCCTGACCGGCCGAAAAATGTGCGAAGCTTGCGTATGGCCAATACTGTCGATGCTCGCGCGCTCGAAACAGCCGTCAAGTACATGTATCTGGGCGAAGTAACGGATATCAACAACCAGGACGTGTTGAAGAGCATAGAGAGACTGAGCCGGCACCTGGAGATTCCGGGGCTGTGGGATATGGTTATGGTTTCTGTGGCCAGGGATCCGCGGAAGCGGAGACAGACACGGACCGCGACCATCGAAAAGGCACAGAGCGATATGGATGCCTTTTTCCGCGAGTATGTGCTCGGCAGGAAGATCACGGTTGATTCGCCCGAGGAGGCCAACAAGATCCGCGTGGAACAGAGCAACGAGAGCTTCGCGGATGTCTTGCTTCAGGCGGAAGAGGATCCTCCGCTTGAGAACGGAGATGGTGACGGAGATGGGTCCGATGATACGACCCGCAAGGGACCGGTCACAGTGCTGTATCCAGTGCACAAGGGAATGCTGCGCTCCGAGTACTTTACAACCATGTTCGCGTCGGGGTTCCTCGAGGGACAGAAGCAGCACGAATCCGATGCGCTATCGATCATCCGCGTCGACGCATCCCCGGCTGTTCTGGAGCTCGCGCTGTCCTTCTTATACTCGGAAAAGACGGAAATCCCGCTGGAGTACGCGCTGGATCTGCTCTTCCTTGCCGATCAGCTGTTCCTGGACCGCCTCAAGCAGAAGTGCAGCCATGTTATCTGCACCGCTCCCAGCAACGACGATCTACCGTACTCCATCTTTGACGTTGTTCGGGCTGGGTGGTTGTGCCATGTCAGGAGGCTCGAGGAGTTCGGAGCAAAGTATATCGCCGAGAGGCTCGAGAACTACCTCCCAGATCCCGAACTAGCAGAGGTTGTGGCCGAGAGTGCCGAGAGGATCAAAGAGCGCCAGGTACCCCACTCCACATCACCCCACCTTGACCACACTGTGACCGTCAACGCACAATGCTAACATAACAATCCACCAAAGGAAACCGACAGTATTGAAGTCCTCGACGACATCCGCTACTACCTAGGCGTCAGATTCCGCCAACGAATCGGCATCGAGGACGACTTCGCGGAGATGGACGAGCCAGACGACGATGATGGCGACAACGAGGGGCTGCATGATGCTTTCTTCGAGCGGCAGGAGCAGCTGCAGAACGAGCTGCTGGCGAGGATCGATGTGTTGCTGGGTATGTTCCTGGCCACCGGCTTGCAATGGATAGTTATGTGCGATGCTAATTACACCGTTTTTTTTTTGCAGAGGGCTTGAATCTAGATGCGTAGACGCAGTGAATACATTGGTAGGTACATACATGGAGGATGGGGTACATATAGACATATTATGCTTTTTATATGGCATGAATGCTGCCTGAAGATGGATATAAACTAAACGGATATGCTTCACTCGAGCGCGCGGTATGATACAGCTTCTTGCGCTCGTGAATCATACAGACAGATGAGAGGCACGGCATGATGACTTACGGTACCCACTGGCGCTGTGAAATGCATCTATTGACCTGCTCAACCAACAGATCGACTTATTCTCAATCGCTCTCGTGGCTAAGAGACGATCCGATTCCCCATGGTGCTGGAATAGAAGCCAGCGAGCACTTCAGTAAGCTGCAACCACACTTACATGCACATACGCGTTAGACACTGGTTATTTCCGCGGAGATACTCGGCATTGCCATCACGGGGGGTTCCAGACTTCCGGTGGGTTCAATCAAGAAATCTACTCACCGTCGATTCCCGACTTTTGGGTGACGGGTCGACATAGTTATCGGTGGTTACTTTATAGCAATCGGTGTCGCCCCGCTCTACAAAACCGGGTCGAAGATACCTACTACCGGCTCTATATTAAATCTTGGTGACTCAGTCGGAACAGGCCTATTTAGGTAGGTAGATATCTGATAGTTGCAACTTGTTTTGGGGATCGTATGGTATTTACTGGAGGTGTATTGACATAGAGATGTGCATACGGAATGTTGAAGCTTGTACAGTATATAGCTCCGAAGTTGTAACTTGTGTGATCATGACTTCTCCCTCGATCTCGAGTCGCGACTCGGGAAAACGATGGCCTCCACCCCAATGCAACTCCTTCTCTTCAACCAAGATCATTAAACGCTAGTTGATACACATATGCGGCCAGCCTCGTCACCCGCTTCATAGCGCAATCATCAATGAACACCTACAGCTCTACTTGTGGTTCAGATTTCACTCCAACATCACATGATCACACCTATTCCACCAACACCGTGAGAACAATCACTACGAAGCCAAGATTACAACCGTCAAAGAGCTACCTATGCTAGTACACGGGATCCGGCTGGTAGTTTTTCGTGACCGAGGCATGTACAAGTACGGGGGGGTGTGAGAGAGAGAGAACATCAATTTGCCTTCCGCCCCGGGCTGTCGATATCAATCCATACCCTCCCATATCCACCTGTAAATACCATATCAATCCATATCCTCCTATATCCACCCATAAATACTATATCAATCTATATCTACCCATATCTGCCCATAAATACCATATCAATCCATATCCTCCCATATCAATCCATATCAATCCCATATCAATACATATCCACTCATATCAATCCATATCCTGCCATATTCCTGCCAAGATCTGGTCCTGTTCGGCCATTTGGACGGACTGCATGTATAAATGTAGTCCGTCCGGTCCATGTATTCCGTGGACTAGGTGCGGACTGCAGTCGACTGCAGGCCGTCCTGCCCTCAATTTTGTTGGACCAGTCAGTCCAAACACTGCCCCCGGACGGACGGCCAAGATACAGTCCAGTCCAGTCCGAGGCTCAGGACGGACGGACTGGACTACCTATGTCGAATACCGGTACTGCCGTCTGAAAAAGCACATAGTGTGAAGTGGTGGGTGAACCGATGGCCGGCCGCCGGCAAAAGGATGTCGATTACTGTAGCTAGGAGAGGCCTGTGAGATGCGGATTTGTCTATCGACACGATTCTATTAAGGCACGGGCTGGTTGTAATTCACTTCTGCTTGCGTGTGGGAGAGAATTTGAACGTCGATTGATTATCACATACGGCCTGTCTAGACTGTCAATGGCGACGCTCCTACTGCTTGTGTATTTGTCCAGTTTGTTGGCCAGGTGTTTCCATCCGGACGAATAATCTCTTATGTTTCCTCGTCATGATTCTCATCCGGTGCGCATTCCACGCATAAATTATGTAGGTACACAGCCAGCTCGCCTGGCCCTCTCCCTCTTACTTCTTCCCCGGCAGCGTATCCTTATCCTTCTTTCCCTTCTGCTTGAGATACAGCTCATCATCCGCCTGCAACTCTGCATCGATCTTTGCGCCCTTCGAGGGCTCGTTTCCATGTTTGAGTGCCTACACCCTTTTAGCCCACATCCCCACGTGCACCTCACCGCCCTAGGGAAATCCTACCGGAGCTCGCGGATCACTATCCTCCGAATGGTCGGGCCGCTCCTTATCCTTCTTCTCGGCGGCGGCGAGCCGGTTGGCGATTGTTCGCTGATCCTCTATTTATTTATTTTGCGGTCAGATATCGCATCGAGTGATGGACTGTAAGGAAGGGTAGTGGGTATGGGCATACTAGAATCCGTATCCTTGTGCGAGTTCTTGACGCCCACCTCGTAGGCGAAGTCGGAGGGCTTCGTTCCAGTCGACTTGCTGGTCTTTTGGTCGCTCGACTCGTAGGTCTGTGCGTTGCCGACTTGGGAGCTGGTCATTTTGGTTTCGTGTTGTATGTAGATAAATTGAAAGTTGGATTTTTCTTCTTTCGGAATGCGGGGATTGGTGGGGATTGGGATTGAGTATGTATGAAGGAGACCAGACGAGAGCTCGAGGAGGACTGTGTTAAATACTCAGATGTGCTGGATTGAGGTGAGGTGAGGTTGCCGTGATGTAATGGTTGGTACCGTAGTTGGCCGACCCCCGATGACGTTACTGATGATCTTCCGCGCGCTAACTAGAGTTCCGGTGAAGTTGATCCCTCCCGAGGATCGTCCACAACATCAGTGCAACCGTCAACGGGGCTGCCGCGGTAGGAGACATGGAAAGTGCGCGTCAACCGCGAGCATGCGTATGTGGTTTTCTATCCGCTGACCGAGACTCGAGAGGCTGCACGGATTTCTGAGTTCTGATTTCATCACTGTCCTGATTACCGAGTATGTAACTCCAAATGAACCCTGGCACGAGCGTCTAAAAGCAATTAAGGCATCTACGTTGCGGCCATGCCTACATGGGTTGCTATAGTAGGATGCTTGGGGGAGGATATCGAGATCTTGCAGTTCACCACAATTCAACTCAACCGAATGACCGCTCCAGCGCCGTTTGATGTCGCGAGGCGCAAAGGCATGGGTGAATGGGAAGTGGCAGAAGTATGAGGTCAAAAAAATGGCAAAAGAAGAGTGCATCAGTGCATCATAAAAGCGAATGGGAAGTGGCAAGAGGGAGATTAAAAAGATGACTAAAAAGAACGCTGCATCCGTCGGGAGTCGAACCCGAGCCAATTGCTTGGAAGGCAATTATCCTACCGTTGGACCACGGAAGCTGGTTGTTGGATGTTTTGACTTTATGCCATTATAGTAATCAAGTAGTTAATCGCCATTGAAGCTCGAGCGAATTATGTACTGGGACTCACAATCAGAGCTCAATCTACTATTGAAGCTGAGTTAGCTAATATATCCGAACCTCCGAGCTGCCATTGAACCTGAGCTGACCAATCTGCCCGGACCTCCGAGGTGCTATTAAACCTCGAGTTTCCATTGAAGGCCGAGTGGCTATTGAAGCTCGAGTGGCTTTCGGAGCTATTGAACCCCAACCTATCATCAATGTTGGGAGTGAGTAGCGATGCAACCTCACGTTACCATTGACCACGACCGAGAGGAGTATGTACTAAATCCTCGCTACAAGCAGCGACCTATCGGAGCAAGTGATAAGTTGGGTTTCCTCAACGACGAACCTTAGAAACCCGAACACTTTACGGATCCCTCCCCCTTCCCCTATTCTACCTACTCCGAGTGAGAACAAGGCTTCGGAGGTACACAAAGACGACATGCGTACATACAGGTTCCAACTTCCTACATGGCAGCGAATGACGACCGGTGTTCCAGGCTCAGAATGGCCATAGGCCCATAGGTAGGTCGGTCTAAAACGTGATGTCGGTCACTCGGCTGGATGCGGCGCTGGCGAGCTTCCTACCGGTGATCGGTCCGGTCGTGGGCATATGGCTGTCCTCTCACGCTGCAGATGACGGCGGCATAGGACTAGGGCAAGACTCACTTAAGAGCGACCCGTTCCCGGGATCCAGAGCTGCGCACTTCGGTCTGGTGTTGAGCAGTGGGTCCGACGGCTTGCGGGACCATTGATGCACATAATGGCTCGCCGCCAATGCGGGCGGGCATGCGGGTCCCATATGCCCGCCGACCCTATATGCAATATCTATGCCCGCTCTTCCCGCCACTAAGTTCAAACACTACTTAGTGCCGAAATTCGTGTGGGAAATAAGAATATTCCTACAGGTATAGTAGTAGAAACTTGGTCCACGTAGTCCTGTAAGGTTAGAATTAAAAGGTCTTTGATATTAGGCTAATTGCAGGAATACCCAAGTACGGGAGGACTCTCTACTTCTAGTTAGTGAAGTCATTGATGTTGGTTTCCCTTGGGACTTCTCAACGAACCACCCATAGCATCGCTCCTCCTCGCTATGGCCACGCCAAATACCGTAGGCAGAGTCCGCCCCTTCGCGGAGCACCATGGGGGAGCACTCGTGCCCAAGTCCGTTTCGCCGTGAGAATACACACAATTTACTCTCGGAATGGTATCTGCTGCATGTCACACGCCGGTTTGCATCGAGTGCTTCGACCGCACCGAGAACATCGTGTTGGCGGCGGCGGCGACGCCTCGATTGCTACGGTACTCGTGCCACTCAGCCTAGCCCCCCACTGCACGCCACCACCATCAGCACCACCAACGCCGCCACCACCACCGCAAGTGCATCGTAGGCAGTAGTCTGAGCGCTCCAGCTCCTTTTAATTCCGATTGGTCCGGCCATAGCTATCGATAGAACATAGCTGCGAGGCGATGCCTCCGAATCCCTACGGCAAAAAGGATCGTCATCGGACATCTAGATTCCAGAACTCGATTCTTCCAAGATGGTGATCTGCTGCACCAGGTGGCACGCCCCCTCAATCCATCCATCCATTCATCAGGCGAAGAAGAAAAACAAACACATAAGCGGAGTCGACGTGCCACACTCGGATCCACTGACGAAGCCCAGTCTCACCGACCCAACCACCCAACCAAAGGACCATACCCGTGAAGCCTCGACCCGACCCTTAGATCTCTAGAAAGGCCCAGGGGAGACAACGCCGGCCGGCCAATCACGTTATTCCCACGGTTGGAAGTCGGAGACGAGATTTCCAGCTAGGGGGTGAGAGGTGTTGCACGATTACCTAGTCTTCTCGGGCCGCACCGGTTCAGAGGACTCGGGCGCTTGCTTCGAATCAGATCACCACGATGGCCCTTCCCCCCAATATTGTATCATGGGTACTTGCTCCTCTGCTCGAGCTCCCCATCTCCACATGTCTCACGCCTCTCCACCCGAGACCAATCCCTCGAGAACATAGTGAAGCCAAACCTACCAAGACCAATCCCTTCAGACGATAGTGAAGCCGGAACTACCGAGACCTAATCCTCCAGACGATAGATCTAGTACCAAGGTAGTGAAGCCGAAACTACCGAGATCAATCCCTCCCTCCTATGTCCAGACGATAACTAGTGAAGCCGAAACTCCGCCGTGTTGTTTGCACACATGTACGTACCAGGCTCCGACTACGTCCCAAGCATGACGACCTCATGCAGCCTCGCACCCATATGGAAAGGTCCCGGCTTACATAGTTAATTAGTCCCGGCTTGGTCCTCAGCCACGGAGATTTCGACCGACGACGATGACCACGGCCACGGCGGCGGCGAGTAGTAGCTGTTTCGGCAGTTGAAACTCGAAGTCTCGAACTCGAACCCGCCAGCGCTGCGACGGAGGTTCCCGCATGATGATGTACTCTACATATAGTACTATACACAGGAGCGATCTTCTAGTCTCCGAGGCATGTATGTACGATATGCGCCTAAGTATGTGTGTAGGAAGATTGTTTCCCCCTGCCTGCTGCAACATCTCGTCAACTGCGGGATCGGGAGAAAAGCTGCTACTGCTGCTACTGCTGCTACTGCTGCTACTTCTGCTACTGCTGCTGCTGGCTGGGGGGAAGGGGGGTGGTGGTTAGATCTATATTGGGCAGGACCGATCCTCCGCTCCGCTCCAGGGGGAGGGAGATCTACTTGCTTGCCGAGCGAGCCCAAGGAAACAGTCATCTCGGTTCAGGCAGGCAACTTGCTTGTTTTCCGCTGGAGCCTACCTAACTTATGTAGAGGCGGGAAGTTTTTTTCTTTCTTTCCTGCAGCCGCGGGGCTGCGACAGCCACAGCCACGTGGCTGTCGCGTGCGCGGGTGCGCTAAACATGCTGGTCGCTACATATATACGGGGGGGGTTATATGTAGTACCTAGACAACTCGCCGGTGGCGCAGATGGTTTGCGGAGTGTAAAGGCCCGGCTTTTTCTTTCTCGCTGGCGCTGGGGGGGAAAGAGGTTTCGTGCACTCGTCGTACACGGCGGGGGATGCTCACGAGTCACGAATGCGAATGCGAACCACATTTACCTACCGTAGGTACAATGCAGGCACTTGGGTTCGAACTTAGAAGTTTACCCGTGAAACCCCACGGGCCACAGGATTGCCCTTGCAGCAAAAAGTTAAAACCCCCCGAACCAAAGGTTCGAACCGAAGCGCCAGCGCCAGTGCCAGCGCCCAGCGACAGCGACAACAGCAGCGACAATAAAAACATCCACATGGACATAATTTCCGTATGTACCTATATGGGCTGCACATATACGTGTCCCCCCACCCCACACCCGGGTTTGCCGGATGTTTCGGTGCTGTTTGCACTCACACTCGGGCGGGTGTTCACAAGATGTCACTCGTGCGGGAACGACCGATGCGGAAATTCTCTCTGTCTCTGCCAATAGTAGGCAGTAGGTACTCGACCATATTCGTCGAGTCCCACCCCACCAGTGGAGATGGGATTATATCCCCGATAGCTAGCATGGCGCGATATACAATACTGCAATAGTAGTACCTAGTGCAAAAGTGGACACTTTACTCCAGAAACCGGGATGCTGCATCCATGCATGCAGAGTTTCTGCGATGAAGGATGATGGCCAATATATCGAGAAACCTTCTAACACAACCTAACTCGACCCTCCTCTGATCCTTTGATCCTCTGCGCACATGGTGTCGGGTGTCTTGATCGGTCCATTACTGTACCATAGGTATCTACGCTTCTAGGTCACCCCATCCCGTTCAGCCCAATCCCATTGGGGGGCTCGCCCCGCATACACGGGTATAGTTTGGTATAATATCGTAACTAATTGGCCGAAAAAGCGCGCAAGCCAGTGTTCCTGCAAGAATCAAGAATCAAGAATCAAGATCCACAGGTTGTGGGGAATCGTGTTCACTGGTGGTGGTGGTAGTGGTGCTTCGGACGGGACTGCACTGGAAGTCAGGAATTCTGGAATCTGGAATCTGGATGTCTGGATGTCTGGGAACTGGAAGTCTGGAACAAGAAGTCTGGAAATACCTGCGAATCAATTATCGGAGCGCTTATGTATGATACCTGATAACCTCAGCTTGGGACGGTGTTAGCGACGTCACATCTGCCTGGTTGGGCTGGATGGATGGCTGGCTGGCTGGATGATTGGCTGATTGACTGGCGGACTGACTGACTGGCTAGATGGATGACTGGATGGCTGGTGCCCGAAGAAGCCGATTGTTTGTGGGGGAGATGGATCCAATGGATCGATCCGGCTGGTTACGTCCGTCGGCGAGGGGCGCGGGGGAGGAGTGTCGTTGAGATGCGCACTGCACTCATCACTTTGTTTTCTTTTCTTG